AACTGCCCATTGAAACAAGACAAACCTAAAGATGCTCTTAGTGACCATCCTTTATGTGTATCCGAAGTCCATACATCATTACATCAAAAAACAGCAGAACAAGTAGCTTTAGAAAGAACAGAAACAAGTAATTTAACTAAAGTAACTACTAATATGTTTGGATGTAGCACAGCAAGTGGAAAACAAGTCTCTGCTTCAGAAACTGTAGTACAGACAGTTAAAGATCTATTTCAAGAGTTTACAGAATCTGAACACCTTCAAGAACATTGTCCAAATGATAAAGGTGATAGCGACGGTAGTAAGAAGGCAAACATGGTCAATCCATTAGTAAACAAAGCTGAAATTATTACTAACTTTAATGAAAAGCTTGTTGACTTGCAGAACCACGGGGCAAGGACTATAGAGAATATTGGTGTGGGTAGACCGTCTGTTACAAGCTCTTCTGATGTGAAGTGTTCAATGCTGAGGCATTCCACTCCATTTCACAATACAAGAGTCCCTATTAGGAAGAAGTTTGTTTCTTCAATTACATCTCACACACCTGAGAACTATTTTGAAATTGAGGCTGCTGAAAGTGCAAAAGCTTTTATGGATGATGAAGATTTGACTGATGGTATAAAGGCAGTAGAAGCTACCAGCAAGCCTCTGAATCTTAGAAATGGGAAGCGATTAAGATCTGAAGATAGAACTCCATATGGTATGTCACTTTTTTCTACTGTTTAGTTTTGTTAATATCTGTTTCAAAACGTAGTGAAAACTAGTTGTTGTGGGCATCATTCAGATGTTCCTGTCTAACGAAGGAATACATAGTTGAGAAAATCTAGATTCCAGGTGTTTCTATGATCCATTAGACACTAAAGTTATTCCTTATAGCTGTGTTATTGTACATTTTGTGGTGATCTAGGAAAAAAGTGTAGCTGACATCAGACAGGCAAGCCGGTATTATATTGGACATTTCAGGTCTGTTTGCAGAGCACCTTCTGACAATGCTGAAATTATGTTATCCTCTGATCAGAGTCTGTTTACCACTATCAGATTTTATGTCCCACAATTACCCAGGTATTTGCTGACTGATCGCACAGACTACAAGCTCACTGTTATACCATGTCCTCTCCTGGAGATCCTAAGTCTGATTTGCCTGCTGCCTTATTTACATCCGAGCCTCCAGTCGCAGAAACAGTCTGAATCTGGGCTTCCTCAGTTCTAGACTGATGAGTTTGCCTCTGAGGGCATTCTATTACTATTACTCCCAAATTAAATCACTACCACTTTAAACCTGCATGTGTCCTAGGTCTGATAGTAGCCTCTTTCGAGGCAGTCCCATTTGCCCAGTTTCACTCCAATGCAACATTCTGCCATCACAGGGCGAACTGGTCTGATTCGTCTATCATCTGGGAATGGGTTGTATCTGGCTCAGGGATCCAGCTCTATAGTTGGGGAAGTCCGTTCTTTCCATCTTTTGATGGATCGTCACAACAAATGGCAGCCTGTTGGGCTGGAGAGGAGTCCTGGGTACCCTTTTAGTGCAGTGATTGGAGGATCGTCACAACGGATGGCAGCCTGTCAGGCTAGAAGGGGTCCTGGGCACCCTTTTAGTGCAGGGGATAGGTGGTCGTTGGAGTTAACTCTCACGATCAACATTCTGGAAATTTGGACAATTTGTGTGTCTATTGTGTTGAACCATCCTACTGTAGAGTCATCCAATCTGGATCCAGTTCAGTAATGCCATGGTGGTGGCACGCAACAATCTGGGAGGAGCAAGAAGTCTCACTGTATCAAGAGAAGTATATTGGATCCTGGCCTCTGCAGAACATACCAGCTTTGTGTGTCCTGTACATTCCAGGCGTAGACAGTTCAATGTACATATTTGCCAGCACTCTATGGATCAGATAATGTCCAAAGATTTTTACTCAAAGTGATCACAGCAGAAGAATGCAGTTTCAGGACCACGCAGGACCTCTTAATCAGGCATGTGATCATCACTTGCTTGACGAAGGGGTCCTGCGTGGCCCCAAAACATTGCGCTCTTCCGCTGTGATGTGATTATTCACTTTAAATAAACACTTTTAGACGTTACCTGAAGTTCCAGCATGTGCTGGCAAATATGTACATTGCTCTGTGATGTTTCCAGGCTCCAGCTGGCTGTTGCTGCAACTTCTGCTATCCTTGAGCCCATTTCAGGAACATGTGCAGTGGGAATTTTGAACTTCCTACACCTGTAGGTGTTCCAGGGCCTGTGTCCACAAGTGGGGGGCTCTGGATGTGGATCTCCTGGCCTCCAGGTTCAGCAACAGACTGGACAGTTTTGTATCCAGGTACAGGGATCCTCTAACAGTGGATACTTTAGTAGGATCTGTACACCCTGATCCATGCCATTCTTCCTTTAAAATTCTTCTTCTTCTGCTTCACAAGATCAAGCTAGAGGGAATTCCATTGATCCTTGTTGCACCTGTTTCTCCATACAACTGGGTCTGGACCAGCGTCTGGCTTTCAGCCCTGTCAAGGATCAGTTTTGTACTTTCTCCTGTGACTTCATGGACTCTGAATCTGTTGTTTTTTCTGCACTTTCAAAACCTTTGTTTGAAACAATTAGAGACATTATTTACCTTCCCTCATCCACAAGCTGTTTCTTGTAGTCCTTACCTCCGCTAGGCGTGTCTCTGAATGGGCAGCCCTTTCCTGAATGGAAGCTTTTTTGTTTCTGCATAGGGACAAGGTGGTGTCGGGACTCAGAACTTTTGTTTTGAATAGTTTGTCGTATGGCATTCTTCTGTCCCTCTGTCTGCGCCACTTTTTGTTCTCCAGCTTTGTTTCCTTTATCTAGGTGACTCAGACAATCCATCACCCACGCCTGTGTTCTCAAGGACCGTTTTTCACCCTTTCATGTCAAGGTGCACTCAACTAGATCTGTGAGTGCTTCTTGGGCTTTATATCATCAAGCAACAATTTGTCCCCAGATTTTCAAAGTTGCCACCATGACCTTCTGTTCACAAGTTCTCTAAGTTCTACTAGATGGACATTTCAGCCTCATCTTAACCACTTGCCTACCGGGCACTTTTACCCCCTTCCTGCCCAGGCCAATTTTCAGCTTTCAGCGCTGTCGCACTTTGAATGACAATTGCGCGGTCATGCAACATTGTACCCATATGAAACTTTTATCATTTTTTTCACACAAATAGAGCTTTTTTTTGCTGGTATTTAATCACCACTGGGTGTTTTATTTTTTGCACTATAAACAAAAGTAGCAAAAAATTAGAAAAAAAAAAGTTTTTCTTTGTTTCTATTTTAAAATTTTGCAAAGGGGTATTTTCTCCTTCACTGATGTGCATTGATGAGGCTGCACTGATAGGTGGCACTAATGAGGTCGCATGGATAGCACACTGATGAGGTGGCACCGATGATGTGACACTGACGGGCGGCAGTGCTGGGTGGCACTGCTGGGCACTGATGGGCGGCATTGTTGGGCACTGATGGGTGGCATTGATTTGCACTGGTAGGAGGCACTGCTGGGCATTGATTTGCACTGGTGGGTGGCACTGCTGGGCACTGATCATCAGTGCTCTGATGATCATTGCCAATCTGTTCTATGACAATTGCCGGTTATCGGCAGTACTTTTCTCACACTGTGACAGCGTGAGGAAAGTGCTGCCGATAACCGGCAACTGTATTTACTCAGTGATCTGCTGTGTCATTGGACATAGGCAATCATGTGGTAAAAGGCTGCTGTGATTGGCCTTTTACCTCATCACATGATTATCTGTGTCCGATCAAGGAGATCGCTGGGGGCATGCGGGAGGGTGCGTTCTGGAAGGACGTCTTATGACGTCCCAGAACTGGACAACCACGCTGTAGCCATCGTTCGGCTATAGCTCGGTTGACAAGAGGTTAAAGCTGATTTCTTGTATCCTTTCACTTTAAATAGTTTGGACCAAGCTGGTCCAAATGAACCAGTTCCTTCACTAAATGCTGCAGTGTCTTTAAGCACTGCATATACTGCATGTAGCTTCAATAACATACAGTGCTGGGTTCGGGCTGTGAGACAGACATCCCTTCTCACACCCGGGACAATACAGAGTCAGTCTTGAGTGGTGCTTAGGCATTCATAGGCATCTTCATATTATGTGAGTAAATACAAAGCTTCATTTGATTGACTTAGGTGGTGACATCATCAGCCTGGCCCTCCATCACTATTTAAAGTGACAGGAAGCATGGAAATCAGCTTTAAGCCAGTGTAAAGCTTATACAGAAAATGTAAATATGGAAGGGATGTATGACTTGCTGTGTGTATCTTTGCTTAATGTCAGACTTTGGGTGTCCCTCAATGGCCTTTCAAGAAAAGGATTTCACATTGAGTACAAAAATTCTGTTTCTTGTGAAAACCATCCACTTCTTAAGGGGTTTGGGTTTGTGATTTCATACAACTTACTGAATACGTAATGTGGCCAACACCTATTTGCTATTAAAAGCAATGCATACCCAAAACACTGCAGTATTTAAAGCTCACTTGAAGTCAAAAGAGCACGTACTGCTGAATGCTGAATTGTAGCTGTGACAAGGTGTGGGCTTGTCTTTATTATTTTCAGGGCAAAAAAAAAAAAATTTCCTGCCAATATTTGAATATTGTATATTTATACATGCATTTTCCTTTATGTCAGAGGGCTGAGTTTTAGGATACAGTTTTTGACTACAATAGCTCAAGCTTAAATGTAAATACACAAGTGAATGACTCCTCTTTCCAAGCTTCCAAGTTTTTCTGTGTTGTCTTTTTAGGGAACCCATTGTGCCCCTGGGAATAATTCTCCATGTATTAGATATTTGTATATCAAGATTTTGTGTGTGTTTGTATGTGATTTAAAACACATTGATTGTTTATAATAAAATAGTCCTAATACCATTATAGTTTCCCTTTAACTTCTTTTAAAACTTTGTCCATAGGTGAACCTGCAATCAAAAGACAGCTTTTACCAGAATTTGACAGGTCGTTGTGTCAAGAATCAAATCTGACTTTGAAGCCTTTAACAAGCAGCCCTCATAGTAGGTTTTCTTTGTTTAAAGTTATCTTGTAACCCCCACCACTTAGATTAGTAAGTTATTGTGTAAACAAATTGAAAACATTCTTCATCTTAACAGCAAATGATTAATTTAAATTTTCCCTATTGTTTTCAGTACAAACATATACAAATTATTTAACATTTAATTTAATTAGCTTCAAACAACCCCCCTCCCCTTCCTAGGATCGGCACTATATGGCCCTACCTTACTTCTTATAGCTGGCAACTTCCTCCTGATATTCAGTTTAGTAAGCTTGCTATGGCCTTCTGAAATGCTGCTCTCTAAAGCCAGCCATAGATGCTTCAGCAGGGACTGGTCCGAGATTTGTACCATGTGTGGGTGTATGGGCAGCCTGATTGTACCCAAGTTGATCCATCAAACGACTTGAACACAACCAGCGTGTTGGAATTTTAGCATGTGATTATTCACAGCAGCAATAACCACTGTGTTCTCCATTCAGGAACAGCTCCCTGCGCTGGGGGAATCGAGCAATTTTCTTTCCTGCAGCCTGTGGTTGCAGGAAAGAAAATCACATCTTCTATGACCTGCCTTAGTTACTTCTCCCAGCCAAATGATTAGATATTGAAGGAGCAACAGAACATTCATTTGACAATAGCTGTGCCAGTCTCTGTGGTATGAGGGGACTGGTTTGGAAGTGACTATAGTGCAGGCGACTTGGTTTCCACAGGAGGGAATACTGCCCATTAATATCTTGAAACTTCAGGCAGTACGCTTTGCTCTGGATTATTGGACGAACCAGTTGCACAGGGTTGTGGTCAGGATTCGGTCTGACAATCCCATGGCAGTGGCGTATATCAACCACCAGGGCGGCACCAGGAGTTGTACGGTTCAGTAAAAGGTGAACAACGTTCTGTCTGGGACAGAACATATGCCATCTCTGTTGGCAGTACACACACAGACGGGCGGACTGACAACTCATGGGGCCCTGGGCAATAGGAGATAATGGGGCCCCCTGTGTCCCCGCCCACACTCAAGCCACACCCACAATGCCCCACCTACATATTGCAGCTCAGCTGCATAGGGTGGTATTTAAATATCTACTGAGAGGTTAATTGCCTTGTGTGGCTGTTCAGCACCCACTCAGCCTCTTTCCTGACGGGTGCTAACCCCCCACAAACCTTTTTTTTTTCCTGACAGACCATGAAAAATCTGCCAGATTTTATGACAGAAACTCCTGTTAGAAACTTAAGAGGGGGTAGTGAGATAGATACAGAAGAAGGGAGGGAGAGAGAGATTGAAAAGTAGGAGGGGGGGGGGGGTAAAGAAAGATGAGAAGGGGGAGGTGAGAGAGAGTAAAAGACAACCTATTTTTGGGCAATTTCTCCCATTCTTTGCCAGTACCTCTCAAGCTCCATCAGGTTGGATGGGGAGCGTCGTTGCACAGCCATTTTCAGATCTCTCCAGAGATGTTTAATCGGGTTCAAGTCTGGGCTCTTGCTGAGCCAGTCCAGGACATTCACAGAGTTGGCCCGTAGCCACTCCTTTGTTATGTGGGCTGTGTGCTTAGGGTTGTTGTCCTGTTGAAAGATGAACTGTCGCCCCAGTCTAAGGTCCAGAGTGCTTTGGAACAGGTTTTCATCAAGGATGTCTCTGTACATTGCTGAACTCATCTTTCCTTCGATCCTGACTAACATCCCCACCATGCTTCACTGTAGGGATGGTATTGGCCAGGTGGTGAGCGGTGCCTGGTTTCCTCCAGACATCATGCTTGGCATTCAGGCCAAAGAGTTCAATCTTTGTTACATCAGACCAGAGAGTTTTGTTTCTCATGGTCTGAGAGTCCCTCAGGTGCCTTTTGGCAAACTCCAGGTGGGCTGCCATTTGCCTTTTACTGAGGAGTGGCATCCGTCTGGCCACTCTACCATACAGTCACAAATTCAAATTCTCTAAATATTCCCGAAGAAAAGTAAACCTTTCACCCTTGAAAGTACAAATATAAAAAACCTTTTCTTTAAACCATTCATGAAAAAATTACTCCCCTTCCTTATCTCAAAAATGTCCTACATAAATTCAAAATTAGTCCACCACAAGTCCACACTATTAGATCTTCAAACGTTGAAAATATCTTCAAATCCAAGATACCTGTGCTTGGTTACCTCCCTGGCTAAGGCCCTTCTCCCTCGATTGCTCATTTTGGCTGGGTGGCCCGCTCTAGGAAGATTCCTGGTGGTTCCAAACATCTGCTATTTATGGGTGATGGAGGCCACTGTGCTCATTGGGACCTTCAATGCTGCAGAAATTGTTCTGTTCTGTACCCTTCCCCAGATCTGTGCCTTGATCCTGTGTCGGAGGACTAAGGACAATTCCTTGGACTTCATGGCTTGGTCTGTGTTCTGACATGCAGTTAACTGTGGGACCTTATATAGACAGGCTTATGGCTTTCCTAATCATGTCCAATCAACTGAATTTCCCACAGGTGGACTCCAATCAAGTTGTGGAAACATCGCAAGGAAGATCAGTGGGAACAGGATGCACCAGAGCTCAATTTTGAGTGTCATGGCAAAGGCTGTGAATACTTATATACATATGTTTTTTTTGTTTTGTTTTGTTTTTTAATAGATTGCAAAGATTTCAAAACGAACTTCTTTCACCTTGTCATTATGGGGTATTGTTTGTAGAATGTTGAGGAAAAAAATAAATTTAATCCATTTTGGAATAAGGCTGTAACATAACAAAGTGTGGCAAAAGTTAAGCGCTGTGAATACTTTCTGGACGCACTGTAGTTACCAGGTTTGCACACATCTCAGGGGGGATTTTGGTCCACTCTTCTTTACAGATCTTCTCTAATTCCTTTAGGTTTCTTTGCTGTTGCTTAGCAACTCAAAGTTTCAGCTCCTTTCATAAATTTTCCATAGGATTAAGTTCTGGAGACTGGCTAGGCCACTCCATAACCTTAATGTACTTCTTCTTGAGCCACTCCTTTGTGCCTTGGTGGTATGTTTTGGGTCATTGCCATGCTGGAAGACCCATCCACGACCCATCGTCAGTGTTCTGGATGAAGCAAGGTACTCATCCAAGATTTTACAATACATGGCTGTGTCCATTGGCCCCTCAATGCGGCAAAGACAGCCCCAAAGCACCTCTGTGCTTGACTGTAGGGATGGTGGTAATGCCAAAGAACTCAACTTTTGTCTCATCTGACCACAACACTTTCTCCGAATCCTTCTCTGAATCATTTAGATGTTCACTGGCAAGCTTCAGAGGGGCCTGTTCATGTGCCTTCTTGAGGCGGAGGACCTTGCGGGCACTGCAGGATTTTAATCCATGGTGGCGTATTTGTGTTACCAGTGGTTTGTTTGATGACTGTGGTCCCAACTGTATTGAGATCATTCACAAGCTCCTCCTGTGTAGTTCTGGGCTGATCCCTCATTTTTCTCTTGATCATCCTTATCCCATGAGACGAAATCTTGGAGTTATCTTGCATTTCTTCCATTTGCAAATAATCACTCCAACAGTTGTCTCCTCACCAAGCTTCTTGCTGATGGTCTTGTAGCCCATTCCAGCCTTGTGCAGGTCTACAATCTTGTCCTTGATAGCTATTTGGTCTTGCCCATGGTGGTGAGGTTTGAATGGAAGAAAGAGATCCTGTGTACAGGTGTCTTTTATAAACATAACAAGTTGTTGTTAGGAGCGCCTTCTTAACCACTTGCCCTCCAGAAGATTTAACCCCCTTCCTGACCAGGCCATTTTTTGCGATACGGCGAAGCGTTACTTTAACTGACAATTGCGCAGTCATGCAATGCTGCACCCAAATTAAATTTATGTCCTTTTTTTTTTCCCCCACAAATGGAGCTCTCTTTTGGTGGCATTTCATCACCTGTGCATTTTTTATTTTTTGCGCTATAAATAAAAAAAGATCGACAATTTTGAGAAAAAACAATATTTTTTACTTTTTGCAAATAAATATGTCCAGAAAAAAATGTAAAAATCAAATTTCGTCATAAATTTAGGCCAAAATGTATTCTGCTACATGTCTTTACTAACTAAAAATCCCAATATGTGTAAAATAATTGGTTTACGTGAAAGTTATAGCATTTACAAATGGCAGTATGTATACTGGAATTTTTGTTTTTGCTCGTAATGGCGGTGATTAGCAACTTATAGCAGGACTGCAGTGGGCATTCTGGCACTGGGGGAACTGATCTGGTGTCACTGACATCCCCAGTGACACCAATACAGTGATCAGTGCTAATAAAAAGCACTGACACTGTACTAATAGCACTGGGCAGGAAGGGGTTAACATGGGGGTGATCAAAGGGTTAATTGTGTGCGGTTTCACTGTGCACTGTGTGAATGATTGCACTGTGTGAATGATTACACTGTAAGCACACTGCTTTGTATGATTCTGCTATGCAGAGCCATATAAAGCAGTGTGCAGGAGCTGACAGGGCAGAGATCTGTGTCGTTTATGCACAGGTCTCCCCTGTCGGAGATACTAGTCAATCACCAGTGGGGACCCGGTGATTGACAGAGGCCGCGAATAGCAGTGCGGTTAGGGCGCGCACGTGCATCCCCTACCCCAAACTACAAAGTGTGTGTGTTTGTTTGTTATTTTGTGTATTTCTGCTATAGGGCGGCGCGGAAGCTGATAAATTGACAGAACTAATCTCTGTAGCACATAGCCAGTCTGTGGGAGCCAGAATTATTGTTGGTTGTTAGGGGATCAAATACTTATTTTACTCACTGAACTGCAATTCAGTTTATAACATTTGTATCGTGTTTTTTTTTTTTCTGGATTTTTGGTTGATTATCCTGTCTCTGAGCAAACTTACAAAATCTACTGTATGTTGCTTTTTATAGCTGAATAAAATTTGAGCCAAGTGAAATCATTGGTGTGCGGCTTCTCCTTTCCTGTATCTTTAGGGAGTGAAGATGGGCTCCTAAGAGCAGTACCTGATCAGATTTGCAGCAGTGGCTCCTGCATGACTCACTAAGTGAATTGTTTTTGTTTAGAGTTTCCATACACTTTAACCGCCTCCCCACCCGCCATATAAGATAATGACGGGCGCAAGGCGTGCGTGGCTCTGGGAGCGCATGGCGATCGATGGTGCACTGTGTCCCTCAGACACAGCGGATAACCGATCAACGGAAAGAGCCAAAGATGTCGGCTCAGTCATGTGATCAGCTGTGTCCAATCACAGCTGATCACATGTAAATAGGGAAATGCCGGTTATCGACATTTCTCTCCTCACGAGCTGTCACGCTGACAACTCGAGAGGAGAACTGGTAATCGGCTTTACTCAGAGGGGACATGTGAACTGATCATGAGAGCACTGATGATCAGTGTGTCCTGATGATGTGTAGCCCCAGCAGTGCCACCTGTCAGTGCTCATCAATGCCACCTGCCAATGCCACATATCAGTGCACATCAGTGTCACATATCAGTGCCCATCTGAGCTGCCTTTTAGTGTTACCTGTCAGTACCACCTAACAGTGCCAGTCAGTGCTGCCTATCAGTTCCCGTCAGTGCCACCTAACAGTGCCAGTTGCTGCCTATCAGTGCCATATATGAGTGCTGCCTTTCAGTGCCCATCAGTAATTCCCATCAGTGCCACCTACCAGTGCCTCCTCATCAGTGCCACCTATCAGTGCCCATCACTGCAGCCTCATTAGTGCACATCAGTGAAGGAAAAAAAAAATCACTTGTTTACAAAATTTCATAACAAAAACTAAGAAAAAAGTTGGGTCTTTTTGTTTTTTTTTCAAAATTTTCAGTGTTTTTGGTTTGTTTAGCAAAAAATAAAAGACCCAGAGGTGATTAAATGCCACCAAAAGAAAGCTCTATCTGTCTCAAAAAAATTATAAAAATTTCATATGGGTACAGTGTTGCATGACTGCGCAATTGTCATTCAAAGTGTAAGAGCGCTGAAAGCTGAAAATTGGCCTGGGCAGGAAGGGGGTATAAGTGCCCTGTAGGCAAATGGTTAAAAAGAATACTTACTCTAAACTTTTATTAAATTTTTTTTATCTTTAAAATTAGAGTTAGTAAATTTAGAAAGGTATTGCTCTCCCTTTTTATGATATTTTGTATTTTAATGATTTCATTTAGCCTTTTATCATTTGCACATGTTTAACCCTTTTTTAATTAGTTTCTGTAATTCCAGCAATTCTAGATTTGGTCCACATTAAACCTTCTAATGTTTAATTATGTATTTTTTTTTGTAGGTGATTTTAAAGATAGAAGAAAATGTATTTACAACGTTTCTTTAAAAGCCTCATTCTGTGATCCTATGAGGTAAAGTGGAAGCAAATACGATCTGCCACTGTTTTTATACTTTCTGTATAATGTACTGTACATATTGGCTAGTGCTTTCAAACTAAATGGAAATTACCAGGAAGATAAATATCCTTTCCGGAAGAATTTGTCCGTCATCTGATAAGCAGTTTAGTCCTCTTCCATAATTTATTTAAAGAATTAACAGCTGTTCTTATATTTAAATAATGCAAAACCTTACATACGTTTATTCCTGATAATAGCTAAGCCTGTTGAATTGTATTTAAATTGATATAATTATCCATTACCCCAGGAAACTTCACACATTTAATGTTCTGCTATGTTGATATTGTTATTCTCTTGTATATTATCTCTTGTCTTTGGACATGAAATATGAACACATAATGAAATAATTATCTTGAATGCAGTTAAGTCCAGCTGGTTCTGTGAAATGTTTTCAAAAAGGAACCTCAAAATCTTATCTGCATTGTAAAATATAGACAGCCAGAAAATGCTTAGAATTTGGGATTAAGAAGGCTGTATCTTTTCAGTGTCATCAAATGTACCATTGAAGCTCTGACTAAGGGGGGGGGATTCAGACCGTTACTCATCTGGTACCAACACACATGTCAAAATTAATGACAGATCTTTCTTAAAGCACTAATGAACTATTTCAGAATAACTACTTAAATTTGTGTAGAATATAAATATCTCTTTGTAGTAAGACTGCTCAGAGATGAAATAGAATGGTTTGATCAGTATGTTGTAAGATCTTTTTTAATTGGATTATTGTCTGCTCACAAGTAACATAAATGGACCATCTCCTACAGTATGCAGATTTGCTTCTCTGATGATAAAATCTGATTTATTAAAAGAGAAGTGTGGGATAAAAAAAAAAAACATTTCTGCATACCTAAGTGGATGCAGTATTGGTTCAGTGTTGTATCTGTCCCCCTCCGCCTCTACACCAAGAAGAGAGCAATCAAAGACCGCTGCTCGCTCAGTTCTCGGTCTTCAATGAGCAGAGAGCCAGTGACTGGAGCACTGGGCTGTGGAGTGTGCAGAAGCAGCTGGCTCAGGCTCTCAGCAGTGCGCTAAGAGTCTGAGCCAGCTGCCGGTCAGGCATCTGAGTGGATCCCAACATTAATGTTGGGATCTCTCCAGAGTCTTGACGGCTGAAAATATGGGTCACAGGAGTGAAGAATGATGCGCTCTCTTGTGATCCTCAGGATCCTCTTCCTACTTCCTTGTTAATGTGTCATTCATGCAGTATATTGTAGCAACAGTTCTTTTTATGGCTTGTCCAGTATACAGCGTCTCATATCAAAAACGATTGGTATTGTTCTTATGAAGCACATTGACGAGATCACTCCCATGGAGTGTCCAAAGAACAGAATGAAACGCTGATATCGCTAACTCTAGTGCTACAGTAGGTTAAATTCTACAATTTATCCTTCCTGCCTACAAAACAACTTCCACTCTGTATGATTGAAAAAGTTTAATGGTCTACCAGGTATACCATGCGTGTAGCTTTTTAGAAAGCCAAGGAAAGTTATCACAAGTTTTTAAAACCTCAATGAAGAATCTGGAATGGTTTTAAAGCCTTTACTATCATTATTATTGGTATTATTATATTTCTCCATACAATAAGAATATCCTGATTTTCTTCACATTTATTACCATTTTAATTGTATATAGACAAATATGTGTTGTGCCTCCAAATAACATGTCATACTTACCTGCTCTGTGCAATGGTTTTGCACAGAGCAGCCCCAATTCTTCTTTTCTCGGATCCCCCGCTGGCGCTCTTGTCCCCTCCCTCCTGCTGAGTGCCCCCTGAGCAAGCAGTGTGCTATGGGGGGCACCCAAGCAGGCTCTCTCCTGAGCTGCTGCTTTGCATGTCCATTCAACACAGAACTGCAGCTCGGCCCTGCCCCCTCTCTTTTCTCATTGGCTCTCTCTGCTGTCTCAGCCAATGAGAAGAGAGAGTCCGTGGAAAGCCAAGGCTCTTGTGCACACCGCCGTGAGGGATGGGGCTAAGGTAATTTTTAGGGGAGGGCTGCTGTACACATAAAGTAAAAAACCTTGAGCCTTTGCAACCACTTTAAGGTACAGTCAGGTCCATAAATATTGGGACATCGACACAATTCTAACATTTTTGGCTCTATACACCACCACAATGGATTTGAAATGAAACTAACAAGATGTGCTTTAACTGCAGACTGTCAGCTTTAATTTGAGGGTATTTACATCCAAATCAGGTGAACGGTGTAGGAATTACAACAGTTTGCATATGTGCCTCCCACTTGTTAAGGGACCAAAAGTAATGGGACAATTGGCTTCTCAGCTTTTCCATGGCCAGGTGTGTGTTATTCCTTCATTATCCCAATTACAATGAGCAGATAAAAGGTCCAGAGTTCATTTCAAGTGTGCTATTTACATTTGGAATCTGTTGCTGTCAACTCTCAAAATGAGATCCAAAGAGCTGTCACTATCAGTGAAGCAAGCCATCATTAGGCTGAAAAAAAAAAAACCCACCAGAGAGATAGCAAAAACATTAGGCGTGGCCAAAACAACTGTCTGGAACATTCTTAAAAAGAAGGAACGCACCGGTGAGCTCAGCAACACCAAAAGATCCGGAAGACCACGGAAAACAACTGTGGTGGATGACAGAAGAATTCTTTCCCTGGTGAAGAAAACACCCTTCACAACAGTTGGCCAGATCAAGAACACTCTCCAGGAGGTAGGTGTATGTGTGTCAAAGTCAACAATCAAGAGAAGACTTCACCAGAGTGAATACAGAGGGTTCACCACAAGATGTAAACCATTGGTGAGCCTCAAAAACAGGAAGGCCAGATTAGAGTTTGCCAAACGACATCTAAAAAAGCCTTCACAGTTCTGGAACAACATCCTATGGACAGATGAGATCAAGATCAACTTGTACCAGAGTGATGGGAAGAGAAGAGTATGGAGAAGGAAAGGAACTGCTCATGATCCCAAGCATACCACCTCATCAGTGAAGCATGGTGGTGGTAGTGTCATGGCGTGGGCATGTATGGCTGCCAATGGAACTGCTTCTCTTGTATTTATTGATGATGTGACTGCTGACAAAAGCAGCAGGATGAATTCTGAAGTGTTTCGGGAATATTATCTGCTCATATTCAGCCAAATGCTTCAGAACTCATTGGACGCCGCTTCACAGTGCAGATGGACAATGACCCAAAGCATACTGCAAAAGCAACCAAAGAGTTTTTTAAGGGAAAGAAGTGGAATGTTATGCAATGGCCAAGTCAATAACCTGACCTGAATCTGATTGAGCATGCATTTCACATGCTGAAGACAAAACTGAAGGGAAAATGCCCCAAGAACAAGCAGGAACTGAAGACAGTTGCAGTAGAGGCCTGGCAGAGCATCACCAGGGATGAAACCCAGCGTCTGGTGATGTCTATGCGTTCCAGACTTCAGGCTGTAATTGACTGCAAAGGATTTGCAACCAAGTATTAAAAAGTGAAAGTTTGATTTATGATTATTATTATCTGTCCCATTACTTTTGGTCCCTTAACAAGTGGGAGGCACATATGCAAACTGTTGTAATTCCTACACCATTCACCTGATTTGGATGTAAATACCCTCAAATTAAAGCTGACAGTCTGCAGTTAAAGCACATCTTGTTTGTTTCATTTCAAATCCATTGTGGTGGTGTATAGAGCCAAAAATGTTAAAATTGTGTTGATGTCCCAATATTTATGGACCTGACTGTAATTGGGATATCTGTGTAATAGTCACAGTTGGAATTTAAAGTATCTGAAGAAGTAATACAGTAGTTGCACTGTATCCATAGTGTATCATACTTGCTAATGTCACTGTATGGAACTTAGTGTATGAACTTAGTAAATCTTCCACTAGATTTTGTGGCTATTTTATGATGATAAAGTGTAAATACATTTATTTTCTTTTTCAGCTTTTCTGCTGGAAAGCAGGAAGCCCGGCTATCTCGGCTTACTACTCAGAGCAATTTTTATCACAGATCTGCTGCTGCTTTTCAACAGTCCTCATCAGGCAACTTTGCAAATGCATCTGATGATGAAAGTCAGCTGAACGACATGCTTTCTTATAGACCAGCCACTGGCACACTTGTCTCCTGTTTTAAGAAGGCAGTTCATATGTCATCTGAGGAACAAGCAAGTGACCAAACTGACCTAGAACCACATAATAGTGAGGGTAAATTGGAGTCTGAAAAGTGTACAGAGTTTGATTCAGGTGAGCATATTTTGATCAATGTCTAATATTTATTTATTATAAATGGTGGGGATATACTATAACTCTGTGTGGTTTGCAATAGTTTTTTTTTTTTTTATATATATATTTTGGATAGAGTGGGGAATCAGGTCTTTATTGGTGCTGTGTTGTGGCTCATTTATGCATAAAAACACGGTATTAGCCTGTTTATTTTGCCAAAGCAGTTTCCAGTCCTGGGTCATGCACACTTTCCGAAGAAGGGGGACGTTTGGTAAACTTTGTAGACTCTTGGCCTGCTTGCACTCTGGTGCTTTTGGCTGGAGGTGGTCTTCTAGGGATATAGACTGGAGCTGCAGCCACCTTGGTTTCTTACCTCCCGCCCCGATCAAGGTGTTGTTGCCCCAGTCCCTGTAGCAGAACAGTTCCAGGGGTTTTGTTCCAACCTATTTACCATTCTCAAGACCAAAGGGGCCATTCACCCCATTTTGCATCTCAATGTTTTGAATGTCTTTATTTGAGCCCTGGCTTCTCTGGAGGTCAAAGATGCTTACTTGCGTATCCCCATATTTCTAGTTCATTAGTGACTGCAATCTGTGCCTACCCTTTGGCCTCCAAGGTCTCAAAGGTTCTCCTTTTGAGGAAACATTTGGTGCAGGCTTTTTGAGAGTGTGAGTTGACTGTCCAGTTGTTACAGTGGTTCAGAAATAGAAAGGTCTAGCTTCCAGTTCAAGAGCTTTCTGAGTCTCCACTTTTGCCTCTCCACTTCTTTTGAGGTGGCTTTGTATGCCCATGACACTCCTGATTCCTGCATTACAACATTCTGTTGTTGTGGGACAAGTTGATCCAGTCCCTGGACAGACTAATTTGTTAATCAGTAAGGACCATCTTTTGGATGAAACTGGTGATGGGCCATCAGGCTGGGAAGGAGTCCTAGGCACCCTGGGAGACTTTCACACTTGAGAAGTCTAGTGTCCGAACACCCTGTAACGTTGGTTGCTTTGGCTTTCTGCAGCTCTGAGGCATCTTAATAGAGGGTCATCCAATCTGGATTTACAGTGGTGTTGTACAGTACATCAATCATCAATCTTCCCATAGCAAGAAAGGTAGATTGTATTCTGTACTGGGCAAGAACTTCATGTTATAATCTTTTTTGTCAACTGTGTACACTCCAGGTGTAGACAAGTGGCAGACATTTTTAACCAGAAGAATGGTCCTACACTTGGAGGTGTTCCAGGACCAGTGTTGCACATGGTGGATGCTGGATGTGGATCTCCTTGCCTTCAGGTTGAACAACAAACTGGACAGGTTTGTCTCCATGTACAGGGATTTTCTAGTGGAAGCATTGGATACTCTGGTGGGTCCCTGGAATCAGTACACTCTTTACAGGTTTGAGATGAAGAACATTCCAGTGAATCTCATTGCTCTGGACTGGCCCAGGCAGATGTGGTATGCCAACTTTGTAAGGCTCCTGGCAAAAGCTGCATTGGCTCTCCTGGATCATCAAGATCTTTTCTTACAAAGACCGATTTGCTACCCTGCTCTAGGGTTCACTTTATTTAAAGGCATGGCCATTGCAGCTTAGGTTCTGAGGGACAGAGACATCTGACTCTGTAATTTCTGTGATGCTAAAAGCTAGGAAGTCTACTTCCTACAAGGTCTGTCATCAGACTTGAAAGGAATATTTTAATTGGTGTGAGTCTCTGGGTTTTGTCTGTGAGACAAATCTTCTTCCCAAAGCTGGGTCTGGTCCAGTGTTTGACATTTAGCACTGTCATGGGTCAGATTTCTGCCCTTTCTGTTAAATTTAAGAGACTGCTGGCTTCTCACTTCTTATTTAAGATCTTTGTACAGGGGGGTCTTCCATGTAGCTCCCCTATCCATTCCCCCATATCTCTGTCGGATATGAATCTGGTTCTCTTTGTACTTCAGAAACTGCTGTTTAAACCCACAAGTTGGTGTTTCTTGTAGCCATCACCAGATGTGAGCATCTGAACTAGCAGCCTTATTCTGTACAAAACCCTTTTTGGTTTTCCATGAGGACTAGGTGGTGTTGAGGTCCAGGGATACCTTCTTGCCTAAGGAAGTGTCTGTTATTATTTATTATGTTATTATTTATTATGTTATTAATATTATTCTTCTATCCCTCTGTCTGGCTCCCAGTTCATCACAAGAACATTTTCTTTCATTGTTTGGATGGGATTAGGGCTAAGAGTCTCTCGCCTACAACCTTTTTTCAGTATGGACCCCATAAGAGTGCAACTGCATCTTGTTTGGATGGTGCTGGCAGACCATCCTCCAAGCTTATGGTCTCAAGTGTCAGGTTCCATCCTTTCCTGTGTAGGCTAACTTTACTAGATCTGCGAGTGCTTATTTCACTTTTCGGCATCAAATAATTGTTTCCCAGGTTTTCAGGGATGTCACCTTGTCTTTTGTTCACAATTTTTCTATGCTATACCTGATAGATGTTTTGACCTCCTCTTATGCCAGCTTCAGGCGTAAAGTCCTTTTAGTGACTCTTAAAACGTATTTCCACATTTGCAATAAAATTTGAGAAAACCCCACTATTTGTTTTGTGTTCCTATTCATACAACATGCCAAAAAATATATATATATTTTTAGAAGTATTTCTTACCTTTTAGATGTTTCTCTGGAGGAGATGTCATGACTGACTGTAAGGTTCTTTGAATAGTGTTAGAGTTAGTATGTCCCAAGGTCTGTCCTCATTACATACAATTTAGGAGGGCAGTGTCTACATTTTTAACCCTTTGTTAGGACAAACTGTGTTCAAATTGGTAATTAAAAAATTTGCCTGGGTAGTACAGAAAATATTAATTATGGCAAACACAGCTGCCCAGCCCCCTTACAAACAATAGTACTAATAGAACTATAGTAGCAGTTTTTCTTTGCTGGAGGCTTCAGAATAAAGCATTTAAAAAGGTAAGCTCCAATTAAATGTATTAAAGTGGTTGTAAACCCTTACCTATACACAGGGAAGTGGCTAGCCTCAGGTGATACATGTTCGTACCTGCTTATTTGCAGCCATTTGTCTTGTACATCTTTAGAAAACCTGGAGATGAAAATGATTTTTCAGAGATTCACAAAGCAGGGGGCAAGGAGCTGCAGGTACACTCTTCAGGAGCTCTGAGAGCTGATTGGAGGTAAAGGACACACCCTTTTTACACAGCACACAGGAACAAAGCTGAGGCTGTCACTCACAGGCTTTGTGTTGGAGCTCCCTCCCCTGTCACCTATTTAGCTTTTGGTATCAGGAAGGCATGTCAGTAGTGACTCAGGCTGATAACAGAGGAATTAGACAGCAGAGATATTTGACACTTAGTGCTCTGGAGAGAGGCAAGTAAACACAGTATAAGTATTTGCTTTGTTTAGTTTTCATGTTTGAGGTTTACAACCACTTTAAAACATGCTATGTGAATAAAGATATGTAACAAATATAAAGTAAGCATTCGCCCAGTTTGGCTGCAGCAGTGAAAATATACTTTAAGCTGCAGGAAGTCCACAGTTCCTTGATTTCTTGGGCCTGTAGGATTTAGTTTGGTTTAGCCTACCCCTTATTTCAGGGCTGGGCAACTGCAGCTCTCCAGCTGTTGAGGAACTACAAGTCCTATCATGTCTCTGGGAATCATGCTTATAAACTGTCAATCTTGCAGTGCCTCATAGTTCCAGGACAGTTGGAGAACTGCAAGTGCTCACTCTTGCATTGGACCATTTTTGGTCATTCCAAAGGTTAGTCTTCCTGTGTCCCTCAATAGACAAAGACAATAGGATTTTCCTATTCGCCATAAAACTTCTTTTCTTGGAGTCCAATGAGGGACACAGATCCCATCATACTGTGTTTATGATCGTGTCATCGTATTGCAAAACCCAAGGCATGCTGGTAGAGAGAGAAGTTTCAAGGGCTGGCCTACAGTTTTTTGTTTGCCAGTGTTCAATCCTTCTGCAAGCGGCAATATAACTTGAAGTTATGCTGCCCTTCCATTGACAAAGGTTTTAAGGTAAGCACAAAAGTCCTATTTTTAATGAACAGCTTCAGTATTTTTTTTTTCTCTGTTACAAGATGTTTCCCAATTGGTTGCAAATCTACATTGTGCCAGAGATATGCAGGAAATGAGAATACGAAAGAAACAAAGGCAGAGAATTAAACCGCACCCAGGATCATTGTATCTGCTAAAAGCCTCTTCTGCAGACAGAATTCCATTGGTGTCAGCAGTACAAGGAAAGCTGCCTACAGTGTACACAAAGGCACAGGTAGGTAGAGTCCTAACACCTTAGATAAGCGAGTATCTGTACTACCAAACCCATCAAAAGCCAGTGTGGTTGTATTCACACTTCTGTAATAAAAGATCTGTACTATTCTATGAATTTGAAAAGACCTACAGTACCTTCTTTATTTTGCTCATGCTTCTAAAGGTGTTTTTTTTCCTTAAATAACTAACATGTCATACTTACCTGCTCTTTGTAATGGTTATGCACAGAGCAGCCCTGATCCTCTTCTTCTCATGTACCCTGCCGGCACTCCTGGCTCCTCCCCCTTGACCAGTGCCCCCATAGCAACCCGCTTGCTATGAGGACAGTGGTGCACGCTCGGTCCCTGAGCCCTGCTCTATGCATCCATAAGATGCATGCAGCTGCAGCTTAACCTCGCCCCCTGCTCTCTCCTCATTGACTCACTGGCTATGATTGAAAGCAGTGGGAGCCAATGGCTCCTGCTGCTGTGTCTCAGCCAATGAGGAAAGCGAGATCCGGGACAGCTGAGGCTCCCGTGCACATCGCAGGATGGGAGAGGAGGCTCAGGTGAGTATTAGAGGTGTGGGGGGGGAACAGCACACAGAAAGTGTTTTACCTTTATGCATAGAATGCATGAAGGTAAAAATAACCTTCATCTTTTACAGCCACTTTAAAGAAATTGTTCAAATAGGAAAACATTAGAAAAAAAATTAATTTTCTAGTAGCATTTCAGTGTTATTTATCCTTTGACGTGTCAGATTGCTGCAGCAGGCAAAGCTTCTGCAAGTACACCTAATACAGACTGCTTGCCTGGGTTTGCTAGTTGGTGGCGGGGTATCTTTAAACATGGGTAGGTTCTAAAAAACAAAAACCATGTTAATGTGCCTAGTTACCTTTGTCTAATGTTTGGTCATATTTTTTTTCAGTAGGCAACACTGATATAAATTGAGTCTTGTGATGCTCAGGGAAAGGGGATTGTATTTGAGACCAGTTAAGGCTGCTTCAAACTGCTTCTTCAAAATATATATATGATATTGACTATAAATACTATTTGTGTGATTGTTTCAAACTCATTCAGTTGTACAGGTTTGGCATTTTGAAAAAACACATTGGAATCAACAGTGAGACAGCCAAAATGTTTGACTTCCATTGTCTGGATTATTTCACAAAGAGCTGTCTGTCTAGTGGTGGCGTGCAGATCGCAGATGGTGCCTGGCTGGTACCTTCTGATAAACTGACTGCCGGCAAGGAGGAGTTCTACAGGTAATGCTGTTTCTTTTATTTCCATGTTGGATTGATGTGAAAACCCTGACCTATGGTGGATATCAGATGGGCACATTTTGTGTGATGTTTGTTTGACTTCAATGGAAGGGACAGCATATTAAAAATTAAACATTTGCTGTCCCAATTTTTATAATAAACCAGCATGCACTGTAGGGGGTGTATACCAGTGTGTTAAACACCAAAAAAGGGTATACAGGTGTATGCAGGTGCAGTTAGCTAGTTGGCCACTAGGTGGCTCTGTCCCAGAATAGTGCATGGATAGTGTAATTAGGTGCTAGGTCCCTTTTATCTAGAGCCCTCTTGTATTGATGTCGTCACTGAGTCAGTAGGCATATATTTGCCGGTTTGGAGGAGCCTAGGGTAGTCAGGGCATGGGAGCCAAATAACCCACATCTATGCAAATGTAGTCAGCTAAGTGGAGGTCCTGGACAGGGCTGAAATACAGGGTGAGGTAGTCCTGCACTCACTAGAGCTGGCTGTAGTTATCCTGTCTTTTATGGTGGCGGAGGCTAGAGCAGGTTTCAAAAGGCCTTTTGGGCCAGGCTAGGTGTTCTCTGAAGTGAGTTTATCCCCCTGGTGGACGTGGCAGAAGTGTGCTAAAGCTAGAGGTGTAAATGCAGTGATCCTGTCTCAGAAACTGCATTCAAGGGGTTGAGAGCTGGACACAGATAGCCTAAGGCAAGCCAGAGCCCTCTGGGTGAGTTTTAATCACCCTGGGAAGAAGAGAGACTTTGCAAAGGAAAGATGACTTAAGGGTATGCTGCTTTCACATGGGACTGCTGCGGATTGTCCACTATGTGTGATTGACAAAGTACTGTTAAGTGACCCTGGATTGTATGTTACTGATGTGACTGTAAATGCCATCTTTTGAAGTAACATCAGTAAATCAACTATACTTCCTTTATGTGGACCATCCTTTCTTTGGGGGTATAAAAGCTAATGGCCAGGGATGACATGGGAAGGCCTCTGTCAAGGAGTTGGGCACAATATGGTGGAGTGGCAAGGTGATGTAGATCTGGTTAATGTGAATTTATAATAAATGTTTATATCTATAAGCTGGTGTTATCTTTGATGTTACTTTTTTGTTCTTTTGTTTACGGAGATGTTGTTTCATCCATTTTTTGGGGGGGGGACTGTGTACAACATTATGTGGCAATTTGACTATCCTACCACCCTACCTGTTACACTGGCTCCACTGACTTAAAGTGAGAGTGGGCAGAGAGTGGTTACATTTTATATAAAAAAGGAGGATGATGGTCCTAAATTTCTTAGCTCTGAGGAAGGGGGTGCGTCCACAAAACACGTAAGCCTATCGCATTGAGGGACCAATTGGGCTGTCCCAGTGCTGGAGCGGAGTGTAATAAGATACAATGCCTGTTATTCAGTACACTTGTGAGCATGCTTTGCAACATCTTGTGTGTGTTTTTTTACAATATTGTGGAGGTTCAGGGCTTCAAGCAGGTGGGTTGTTTTATCAGAAAGGAATGGGGCATGGACTTTTACCAGTTGATGCCAAACTTCAGCCAGCCACAAGTCCCCCTATATACAGTCTGGGGAATTCATAAAGGATGTCTTCGACACTCTTTATAATTCCTGCCACAAAGACAGCGCAGTAGCCAAGGAGTTTTGGGACTTGGTGTGTGTCAGAGAAACTAAATCTTTATCAGTTCTGCTCCCCTTGAGAATGGCAGCTGACAGGTCCACAACCAGTAGACAGCCTGCTATTGGTTATAGAATCTGTTCTCTGCTTGCTGTCAGTCACAAGAAGAGAGCAGTCCTAATAGGGGGGAACTAATCCTCGGCTTCCCCATCAGGCTGCGCCCACTGGCTACATAGTTACATAGTCAGTCTGGCTGAGAAAAGACAAACGTCCATCCAGTTCAACCATAAAAAAAAAAAAAAAAGTTATAATCCTATACCCACAGTTGATCCATAAGAAGGCAAAAAACCCAGCAAAGCATGATCCAATTTGCTCCTTCAGGGGAAAAAATTATTTCCTGATCCCCCGAGAGGCAATCGGATATTCCCTGGATCAACTAGGTTGCTAGGAGCTTTTTGACTGAAACCGACAGTGTCCATGACAACCGGTGACAGATGGGGAGGAGGGGGGATAGTGGTGGTAAACATACCACTCTGCTAAACAGCGGCGTACAGAGAGAGGCACTCTGCCCATCTCTGTACACCAGCCTAGAGTTTGTTTTCATTACCTCCATTTACGGAGATAATTCCTTTTGAATTTAGTGCAACTATGGCACCATTTTGTAAAGGTAGCATTATTAAGAACTACCTGAATCTGCTGCATGTTTCAGTAAAGCTACCAAAACTGTGGGCTGGGCTTCTTGAATCTGGCGCAGAACCTTTTAAAGCGCCATACCGACAGAAAAGTGACTCAAATGCTTTACTGAATCTCCCCCAGTGTCACAGCAGAGCATTTTTTATCGTACATCCCAGGACACAGGGTTTCTTCATATCCCTTATGATAGGGTTATGCTGCCATCTTAAGATGATTAGACAATGGTAAAGAAAAAGTCAGGAAATCTCCTTCTCGGCATGTGCTGTGGATCAACATTTGGCTTTGAGTTTTATCCAAGACCAGATCTCGGTTCTAGCGGTTTTTTGTTTTATTTCTTCAAAGACCGCTTGCCCCTCATTTTGTGGTAGAAGCTGTCATACAAGGTGTTGCTTACATAGTTCCCTTTGTATGTCTGTCTGTGACTCCATGGGACCTCAGCCTGGTTATGTCAGCTCTTCACAAACCGCATTTGAATCTATTAGAGATATTCTTCTGTCTACACTCATTCAAGGTAACCTTCCTGTTATCACCTCTGTGAAGCAAGTTTGAGTTGGTGGATGCATTATTTCGTGTAAGGAAACCCTTCTTGTCCTACATTAGGAAAAGCTGTCTTGAAGCCTAGGTCCATTTTTTCTTTTCCTTTCACCTTAAAGTAGAAGTACAGCCAAGGCCCATTTGGTTGTACTTCTATGGGTCACAGGTATGCAGTTAGTTCGTTCTGCATGCAAATGGAGAAACAGAAAAAGGGCACACCGACCTAGTGCATTATCGTTTAAAATATTTATAGAAGAAACAAAGTATCATACTCACAATAGACATAAAAACACAGGCATGTCAAACTGAACAAGATGTATGATCCAAACAACATCTGAGTCCATAAGATGGAACCCTGGATGACCAACTGGCTAACGTGTTTCGAGGACATAACCTCTTCCTCAGAGCCAACCTTTGGTCCTCGAAACACGTTAGCCAGTTGGTCATCCAGGGTTCCATCTTATGGACTCAGATGCTGTTTGGATCATACATCTTGTTCAGTTTGACATGCCTGTGTTTTTATGTCTATTGTGAGTATGATACTTACTTTGTTTCTTCAATAAATATTTTAAACGATAATGCACTAGGTCGGTGCGCCCTTTTTCTGTTTCTCCATTTGCATCCAGTGTATTTGGACCACCCCGGTCTGTTGAGGGCAGCAAGCAGTGCATATTCCAGAAAATTCCAGAACATCCCTGTTGGGTCTACTGAGTCTTTTCCTAGCGCAGGAGAAAAGTGTTTGTTGTGTTGAGTTCGTTCTGCACTCCTGTGACCCGTTTTCAGCTGACAGCGGGCTAAAGTCCTCTGTCAGCTGACATCACTCAGCATATGGTTGGGATCCACCCAGGAGCCTGGACCAGTACCTGGCTCAGCCTATCAGCGAGCCGTCAAGAGCCTGAGCCAGCCTCTCCCTCCCCCTCCACAGCCTAGCGCTCCAGTGAGCACTGGAGGGGCAGAGCAGAGAGCCGGAGATTGCAAGTCACTGCTCTCTGCTTAGAGCGACAGAGAGCACTGAGCAACAAGTGGTGTTTGATCACCCAATTCTCACCCTTAGAGCCAGCAGGGGACAGATGCAGCATTGGATCAATGATGCATCCACCTAGGCAAGTATAATTAGAGGGAAAAAAAAACATACTTTTCTTTTAACCAGTACATTCGTTTTCCGACTTTCTGTCCTGCCCCAGGTTTTCTTTAATTGTTTGGATGTAGTGCAAGATGTTTGAGTTTATCTCACAGCCACATCTTTCAGGTTGACTCTCTTTTAGTCACTCCTGGGGGTCCCCACCACCACATTCCACCATTTCTAGGTGGCTTAAGCAGCTCATCAGTCAAGCTTGCAGGCTTAAGGACAAGGTTCTACTTCATCCACTAGCTGATGCAGGCTTTGGCCGTAAAGTCCTTCAAGACGCTTTTTGAGCTGCAAGTAGCCCCCAGTTTTACGCTTTTGTTGTGGTGGACTTGTTGGTGTTTTGCTGCTGTATTTCCCATTCCTCAGTGGGACTGCTTTTGAACATTCTCTGTCTCACAATTCTTTCTATCCTTGAACAATGAAGAGAACAAGTTTACATTTTAAATATTTTATGTTATGTCAAAAATCTTTTTTTGCTTTAGTCAAGTATACTGAATGTTATATAGTTGTCCATGCAGCCAATACCTAAAACTTTTGTCATCTTATTACATATTTTCTGGTGATATTTTGTTGTAAAAACGTTAACTGATTACACAGTTAAATGACTCAAGCTCAGATTCCCTGCAGGTGTGTGTGTATGTATGTATATGTATGTATATATATATGTTTGTATATATGTATGTGTGTGTGTGTATATATGTGTGTGTGTGTGTGTGTGTGTATGTACGTACACGTACACACGTACACACACACGTACACACACGCACACACACGTTGAACTCCTATTGCCGATGCCCAGGACATGCAGTATGCTGATAATAGAGGCGGCAGTGGTGGGCAGATCAGTACTTTCTCCCCTAGCAGAGACCAGGCAGCTCCTGTTTTGCCTCAAAACAAAGTGTTTTTAAGACTACTACAATCGCTCACTAATACACGTATTAGGCTTAATAAGTATTAAAGCAAAACATGATTTATTGAATAAGTTCTGTTAGTATAACATAAGAATTGTCAGAATTGCAAATCATATTTAGATCGTATTATAGCGAGCATAAAGCATCAATACATCACTGGATATTGTAGCATCACCCGTTGCCCAACGATTGGGGGACATCAGCAAGGGGAAATCCGGGAAATCACCGTAAAGCATGTCTGCCACATCTTCAATGAGTCCCAAATTCCCCTAGAATCCCCCGTCTTTTATATACATAATTTGCAGTGTCCTTATCTACTGCCATGCGCAGTATCTCCTGGTTATATAACATCATGTATGATTCTGCGTAGTAGTTAGAGTCAACGCGTGATCGGCTTGTGCCGTCATGCCTAGTTACCTATTTTGATAGAATGCACATCTGGTGAATATGAGTTATAGCTATGGTTTCAACTGGTTTTATCCAGCTTAATGTATACTTCCAACTTGTTGTTTTGAACTCCAGTTACCTAACTAATGGATATAATCGCTAGCATTATGACAGTTGAGTGTCAATCACTCCTCATCCATACATCCTATACACTCATGTCACATATGTATCACAGCTCCCCAGTGTTCTACTCCTCCCCGATCCCGAGGAGGAGCCTGCTATGAGGCTCGCTGTGATTGGGCAGAACTCAAGGAGGAGGTGTGGCAGGCCTCGGAGTTGATCATTGCTTGCCACAGGTGTGCTGATTTGAGAGAAGTCTGCAGGACTGGTATGTGTGCTGTGTAGCGGCTGAGTGGAGAAATGGTGATCGGGAAACAAATGCTAACACTTTCATTGCCGAAGATGAGTGGATATGGTTAACACTTTTATTGCCAGATGAAATTCCAGTTGGAAGTGCATGATTAACCCTTTCAGATCTGTGTTGGAAGTGTATGATTAACCTTTTCATTGCTAGCAGATCCCTGGTGGAAATATGCATTTGCATTAGGGTATGGTTAGCATTAAAACAGTTAAACATATGCTTCCAACACATATCTGAAAGGGTTAATCATGCACTTCCAACTGGAATCTCATCTGCCGGCAATAAAAGGGTTAACCATGTCCAGTCACCATGAATCTTCTAGCAATTAAACTTTCATTGCTGGAAGATCCCTGGTGATTTGTACACGATTAACCAAGTGATGGAACTACCAGGGTCTCAAAGGTCACACTTGCAACCAGGCCCTGCCATTTCACCACCATGGGAGGGCCCCAAGACGACAGGAAAGGGGTCCGCTGCGGGCCTTGGGATCGTTGAGAAGGGTCACGGGGGTCCTTCTTGGTTTTTTACAATGGGGCTCTGAAGGTTCTAGCTGCACCTCCCAAGAGGCAGAAAAAGACCGCACCCACTCTGTCCACCTCTATGATATAGGAAACAGGAAGAGATGACCATACATCGCTTGCACTTTCCCCAGCCCCAATTTTAAAAATGGAAAGCTTTTGATCACACTGATCGTGGTGTGATTAAATGCTTTTAAGGGCAGAAGAGGGATCTGGGTCCCCACCCTCCTGTGCGCATGTACAAAAGCGAACGTATGCAAACAGCAATCGTCCTACACATGCAAGGTATCACCGCGAACGTCAGATCATGGACAGTAATTCTAGCTCCAGGACTCCTCTGTAAATCTAAAGTGGTAACCTGTAAAGGCTTTTGGATGGGCAACTATGGATAATAAAATATACATTATTTATTGCCATGGCATGGGGAGGCTGCGCAAATACCATGTGACATAAAAAATGGCAACCCTCACTAATTTATTCTCTAGGGCCTCTGCTTTAAAAAAAATATATAATGTTTGGCTATTCTAAGAAATTTTCTAGCAATGAATAAAAAATATTAAAAGTTGAATTTGCCATAAACCCCTTTCATTTTCTTACCTCAGCCTAATAAACAGCAACCCCTCGTATTTTCCATCCTGCAAAAAAAATATTTTTTCATCAGGACAAGTAAATTGTCATAAGGGACAAGTAGTTTGGGACCCCGATGTAGTCCTTGGACTAGTAGTTTTTAAAAAACTTTCCACACCCCCGTGTATGTGTAAATGTGTGTGTATATGTATGTATGTAGATGTGTGTGTATGTGTGTGTGTATATCATACAAGATTTGTAAGGTTTGCCCTTTGTGCTGTCACCAATATTCTCAAGTAATAATGATTTATAGTAGAACATCAGCCAAAAGAGGGGACTGAACCTCTGCCAAGTTTTTGTTGCTCCTGTTTTTTCCTGTTTTTGTGGAGACAAATCTCTCCAGTGGTGACACAGAAGGTAAAAACCTGACACTGCTTTTTTGACCCTTCCTCAAAGTTGCATGTCCCCTTTTCTCCCATGACACAATAAGAAGTAAGGGGAGAGCTTTCCAATGAGAACACAAAGCAATAAAAACATGATAATGAATCCAACTCTTCTTTATTTTATCCAGCACTAAATGGCAATATTTTGTTACTGGTGCTCAACTTTAATGTTGATTGATGCTTTTCTGGGAATTTTTTTTGTTACATGTTACACTGTGTTTTTATTGGTGTATTACAAAAATGTGTTTCCTAATTATGTTGATTTTAACTTGAATGTAGAACGGGTTGGAGTTGGTTAAAGGTTTAACAAGCTTTCAACATTTTTCCTGTGCATTGTGCTGAAAATGCCATGTCCCCACAGAGCTCTGTGTGATACCACAGGCGTGGATCCGAAGCTGATCTCTTCAGAGTGGGTGTATAATCATTATAGGTGGATTGTATGGAAACTGGCAGCAATGGAGGTCATGTTCCCTGAGCAGTTTGCAGGCAGATGTTTGACACCAGAGCGAGTCTTATTACAGCTCAAATACAGGTCAGTATTACATGATATGTCTTATATATACTAGTAAACCCTTTGGTCCAGTGACTAACTACCTGGCTATAGTGGCATTTCCTTTCTAATGCAGTGCATGGTGGGCAGCTGTTTCTAGAGATAACTGGTTTATGGAGGAAGTATCATCCAGATCAAACAGTTACATTCAAGCCTTCCTCTGGATCAGCTGTGGTTATAGGATTATAACTTTTTTTTTCTCTCTATGGTTGAACTGGATGTAGTTTTGTCTTTTTTCAGCCAGACTAACTATGTAGCTTCAGTCATTTTCTGAGGAACTTAAGGCCTGTTGGACAGTAGCACATACACATTTATTGGACCATTTATGTGTGAATTAACATTGTGTTAGAGGTTAATTGTGAGTAATTTTAAGTCACAATGTAGAAAAACCAAACATTGCATTAGTTGCTTTCACTTTAAATATACATTTATAGAAACCATTCAGTAATGGCCGAATCCTGGGTAACCTTCCTCAGTGCTTCTCCTAGTATAATTTTTTAACCACTTGAGCTCCAGAAGGTTTTACCCCCTTCACGACCAGAGCATTTTTTTGCTGTTCAGCACTGCGATACTTTAACTGACAATTGCACAGTCATGCAACACTGTACGCAAATTACATTTTTATCATTTTTCACACAGAGCTTTATTTTGGTGGTATTTGATCATCACTGGGTTTTATTTTTTGCAGTATAAATGAAAAAAGATAAAAAGTTTTGGGAAAAAACAAAAACAATGTGTTCTACTTTCTGTTATAAAACACATTCAATAAAAAAAATCTAATGTTTTTTCATAAATTTAGGCCAAAATGTATTTTTCTACATGTCTTTGTTGAAAAACAATTGGCTTGTATGAAAGTTATAGCATCTACAAACTATTGTGTATATATTTAAATTTTCACATCTGACGCTATACTAGTAATGGTGGTGATCAGTGACTTATAGTAGTACTGTGATAGTGTGGCGGGCAATCTAGTGCTAGCTGATGCTGGCTGGGAGGTACACTAACTGACACTGACATCAATAGTGACACTAACACAGTAATCAGTGTTACTACTGTACATTGTCACTGTACTAATGACACTGCTGGGCAGGGGTTAATATCTAGGGACAATCAAAGGGTTAACTGTGTGCCTAGTGATGTGTGCAATATGTGCTTTTACTTTTCTATCAAGTCTGTTTTTTCTTCCTGAGAGGAAGCAGGCAGATCACTGTTCACAGTACACAGAGTTCTGTGTTTTTGTAAACACAGAACTCTGTGTGTGATTGGCCACAGCCAATAAAATCATTGGCTGAAATCAGCTGCCAAACTTGTGCTGTGTCCAGTCACCGCATGGGTTGGCAGTGGGTGGGGCGGCAATCGGTTAAAGACTTTTTTTATTGGTGTGTGGACAAAGACCAAAACAAAGACGTTAATATCTTCTAACGTCCTCATTCTGTCCAGTGCTTTAAAAATACATTTTGCTTAGATAGGAAAAACTACACCCCATCTTTCTCAGTGTGCAGAAAGCATCCTTTGTTACTTGCCATCTCCCAATCCTGTCCCCCAGCCACTCTGTGCTGTAACCCCAGCGAGTCCCAGTATGGAGCATGCATGCACATTCCCCTTACCTTCCAAAAATGCAGTACTTGGTTCCCAAATGGCCAGCGACATACTGAAGTGCTGTCCACAGGGGAACAGCAGGGTACAGGTGACAACCATAAGATATTAATCCTTACTTGGATTTTTGCAGGGGCAGCAGCAAGGGCCCAGGATGGTAGAATGGGTGAGGAAAAGCAAGTTAAGGCAAAAGTGAGTGATAGCTACACAGTAGGTGGTAGTTGGGGCTTCAGTTCGGGTTTTTTTTTATTACAGTGGAAACAATAGGTTTCTATAGCCTTTTATCTACAGTAGTTGATTACCTCTGACAGATTACACTGTAAAAACAAGGTGGTAGTATTGTAAATATACTCTTACTATTTTCAGTAAAGTGTTTGATAAGCATGCTAGTTTTTATTATTTCCTCGTGACTACAAGAAAAAAAAAAAATCAGCATTTTGGCTTTGGACACTCAAATATTTCAAGTCAATGTTTCTGTGCTCTGTGCTATACAAAGTTTATAGAGCAGCTGACAACTGAAAATGTTTGCCTATTTTAAAACCACATTAAGGGATTATTGTCTGCAGCCAAGCAGTACACAGTAGTGCGGATTCACATGTGTAAATTTAATTCAGGGTAACGTGAACATAGCTTCTCCAATTACAAATAACAGTACAACTGTGAAATGTTCTCTTTCGAAGGTATGAAGTGGAAATTGATAAAAGCCGGAGATCAGCTCTCAGAAGGATCATGGAGAGAGATGATGCAGCAGCTAAGACCCTTGTGCTTTGTGTTTCTAAAGTCATTTCCTGGGGAGGCAATGATAAGAGTGAGTTCAATGATCCCAAGCAAGCTTCTGCTGTCATTGAGGTGACTGATGGCTGGTATGGAATCAAGGCTTTGCTGGACACTTCACTAACTGCACTGCTCCACAGAAGGCGGTTGTTCATTGGTCAGAAAATAATAGTACATGGGGCAGAATTAGTGGGCTCAGAAGATGCATGCAGTCCTCTGGAAGCTCCACAATCTCTTATGCTGAAGGTACAAATAATTCTCCTCTGTATTTTTCTGAACATTTGATGCTTCTGAATTTAAGGTCTGTATATTGCTGAATTATGCTTCATAGAAACAATGGATATAAACTTACCGGCCACTTCATTAGGTACACCTTGCTAATCGGTCTTCTGCTGCTGCAGCTCATTTGCTTCAAAGGTTGACGTGTTGTGCGTTCAGAGATGATATTCTGCATACCTTGGTTGTAACGATTGGTCATTTGAGTTACTGTTGCCTTTGTATCATCTCAAACCAGTCTGCCCATTCTCCCCTGACATCAACAAGGCATTTTCGTTCACACAACTGCCACTCACTGGATATTTTCTCTTTCTGACCATTCTCTGTAAACCATAGAGATGGTTGTGCGTAAAAATCCCAGTAGATCAGCAGTTTTTGAAATACTCAGACCAGCCCATCTGGCACCAACAACCATGCCACGTTCAAAGTCACTTAAATCCCCTATCTTCCCCATTCTGATGCTCAGTTTGACATTCAGCAAGTTGTCTTCACCACGACTAGATGCCTAAATGCATTGAGTTCCTGTCATGTGATTGGCTGATTAGCAATTTGTGTTACCAAGCAACTGAACAGGTGTACCTAATAAAGTGGCCGGTGAGTGTATATTTTAAAGAAGGCCTCCTAAGACTATTCAAAATTCCACACTCTTCATCTCCATAACAGCGGGATGCTTGTTTCAAGTGTGAAGGCTTTTTGGTCACTGCAAGTTAAATTGGATAGTGGATGCAGCAATCTCTAAGGGCAAATATTAAAAAATTGGAGCAAAAAATCAATTCCACACAACAGCCAATCAGATTCCTTGTTTAATTTGTTACCATAAATAATATATGGAACCTGTCAGGTTGCTATGGGCATCAGCCTGAGTTTACCCAGTTTTCATAAATCATCCTCTCTCAATTCTAGATCTTACTGGATAAACTTTTGAATTGTATATCAAGTAAAAATTGAATGGCATTAGAAGATTAGGCTCCCCTATTTTTTTTTTTCCTTTCAGTGTTTTTAAAGCAAACCCATGCTTTGCCATTCAGGACTGGTTCACACCAAAACTCTGTGCGGGGAAGTTGCGTTCCATGCGAGTTTCCTGCACTGTAGGTGGTAGCACTGCCCTTGTGAAAGCGTGAGGATGACAATGAATTGTTAACACATCTCCATGCAGTTTGGTGTAATGCATTCTGAAATAGTAGTGCTTGCACTACATTTTCCCCATTCTGGTGACTTTGGCAAACCATGCAAATGAATGGGCTGCAAAACCAGACCTCATGAGAACGTGTGCATCCCTGTGTGAACAGGCCCTTACACATAGAGAAATTGGATTTATCTGCAGGTCTTTAGAAATTTGATAGGGACAGCTGAGTTGAATATTGCTGTTCAAGGCCTTTCTTATTGGTCAGTTGACATCTATGCTCTCTGGTTCCTTACTGGTCCTTTTTAATCTTGAACTCTTCCTTCAATTAAGTAATTATTTCCTTTTCTCAGCCACACACTATATTTCCATATAACTATATGAAGTAGCAAAAGCCATCCCATGTGCTTTCTTTGACCAGAAATACAGAGATTTTCTTTTCCTGCTATTCATTATGGCTTCTTACTTATGCATACATATTGTCAGAATGGATATTATTTTTGTTTCATAAGCAAAACTTGTACACAGAGAGCTTTACACAACCAGGGAGCAGTGCTTAAATGTGTTTTTGACTTTAGGCTTTAGTAAACCAATTAACACTGAATTATCTTTTCATATTTTCCCTTAGCTTGCGGCAAACAGTACTCGTCCTGCTCGCTGGTATGCTAAGCTTGGGTATTTTTGTGACCCCAGACCTTTCTGCGTTCCTCTATCATCCCTATTTGCTGAAGGAGGCATTGTGGGGTGCATTGACATTGTCATACAAAGGATCTACCCTATGCAGGTAGGCCTGGGAATAAACGTATAGTGGTTCTGTACATATTTTCTTTTATTATGTCAAGACATAACAAAAAATAAAATATCTATCTATATCTATCACTTAGTAGAGAAGAAATATTGTAAATTAATCATGTGTAGTCTCCTATCCAGACAGAAGGTGGTGCTCTAGCCTTTTCCCACCATTGCTGTGGTCATTTTTTCAGATGTGCTTAACCCTTTGAGGACCGTAAGGTTTTGGAATGCCAAAAGAATCAATTTTTTTGTTTTTTAAAGTTCGTACACTTCAGTTGCTGTAACTAAGCCATTTCATGAAATAATTGGCAAAAAGCTAGATCCATTTGTTGTTTGTTGATAAGAACTAATATTTTGACTCAAACCAAAAAAAAAAAAGAGTTTTAAGTTCTTAATCAGATGATACACGCAATTACAAACATGGGACAAATACGTCCCTTGGTCCTCAAAGGGTTAACCAGTTGCCGCCCTGCCAGCACAATACATTTACTGCGGCAGGGCGGCAAGTGCAGGCTCAGTCACGTCTATATACATGATTGAACCTGCTGCGGTTTAGGACCTCACCGTGCTCCCCTCCTGTGATCACTGTTACTGGTAATCCTAACCGGTTATCATGAGATTGCTATGATTGGTAATAGCGATCACATAACACTGTAAATCTGGCTTTCCATTCATTAACATCTTGCTTACTGTTGTGATCTGTGATTGGCCTACAGCAATCACATGGTACCTGTACCATGTGATTAGCTTAGCCAGGCACAGATCACACCTATAGGCAAGATGTTTATGAATAAGATCAGGAGTGTTTGGCACACTTAGCGCAGGCTCAGTGGCCACTGTATTTATAAACAAGATAGTCTTTTTAAAAAGATGCTCTTATATAGTTCATAAACTAGGTGCTTGACTTGGAGGCTGTCAGCTGTGAAGAGCTAGAAGGACTCTGGAGATAAAATGTTGAGAGAGAAGACGGCGCCATTTAAGTGCAGCACATCCAAAACAATTAAAACAAAAGTGAGAAACGCACAATGATGCTGATATAAAGCACTTGTATAGGATTAGTCATCCGCTGTGTTCCGGGATGTGTAGGTGATCCGGGGTGTCAGGTCGATGTCTTGGGGCAGCGCTGGTGGCTCCCAGCTTTCCTGTGGACACAGTTACACCCGGAAACACAGCTAATGACCAATCCTATACAAGCGCTTTATATCAGCATCATTGTGAGTTGCTTTCTTTTGTTTTAAATGTTTCAGATGTGCTGCACTTAATGGCGTCACCTTCTTTCTCAACAAGCTGTTTATGCATGGGCATTTCAGGGTGTTGGGCAAGCTGTGATCAGTGGGATCTTTTAGAAGATCTTACCAATATATTTTTGTAGTTCTGTAGGAGCCCACACCATCACTAGCATCCAGTGCTGCCTGTGTAATAAAAATCACACTAGCAGCTAGGAAAATATTCTGGTGTGCAAGTCCGCAAAAATGGAAGTGGCTGTAAGGTGAAAAAGAGAGGGATCAAAGCCAAAAAGACCTTTATAGCTCGCAAGACCTGCTATTTGCGGTGTTGCTGTACATTCAATCTGTTTAGCAGTAATTTTCTTGATGTTAGCAGAAATGAAGAATCTTTAAAAAAAAAAAAATCTTTATTTTCAGTGGATGGAAAAAATGGCCAACGGTACATATGTATTCCGTAATGACCGTGCAGAGGAAAGAGAAGCAGAACGACATTCTTCAAACCAGCAGAAAAATCTGGAAGCCTTGTTTTTGAAGATTCAGCAAGCGTTCGAACAGCAAGAGGGTACAAAATCCAGCATTACCTGTGATAGGAAATGTGCATTTATTCATGCTGCAATTAGTAACATGGCAGGTTGATGATCGGGTGAATGAATGCTGTCGGGTTTGAGAGAAAATGAGGGTATTGTACAACTGGTAAATAATATTTATAAGCCTAAGGTTCGGTGTTATAAGCAGATGAAGATGATATTTTCCCTGAAAGCATATTTGTTTCATTGAATAAAAGTTCTTAATTTATAGCAGTAATTGTATTTCACATATCATTACTGGTAGACACAATAAACTGCTTGTTCTGTAATGCTGAAGATGGTTTACTGCTTATCCAAGCTACTTGTTCAGTTCTACTTGGTCTGGGTGAGTAGAAAACATCTGCAACATTACAGAACAAATCCTGTCATATCTAAATAACCACAGTGAACACAACCATGACCTGAAATGCAATAAATGAGAACCTTAAAGACATATGTGGATTACCAAGAACACGTTTACATATATTTTACTTTTTTTTAGCATGTGAAAGAAAAGCAAAAGGTACGAAGCGAAATTCTTTAAGTGTAACCCAAATTGCTGCGCTTCAGGATGGTGCAGAGATCTATGAAGCCCTTCAGAATGAACCTGATCCAGGATACTTAGAGGTATGATTAGAGAGATGCATTCTTTTACATGGAGCTGCCTGCTTTGTAAATGGAAACTTTCCAATGGCTAAAGTGCAGTAAAGTCTCAGCAACTTTTTTTTAGCCTTCTGTATTGTTGTCTGCTTGTGTTATGTGGTTTTATGAAAACCACCTCATGATTGTTATTATTGTAAAGTAAAGGAAAAGTCCAGGAAACAGTAAGCTAGTGCACTCCTGTGATCCGCAAGAGAAGTATGGCTAAAAGAACTTTGGCCATACTTCTTTAACTGCCTTCAACCAAAGTCAATATTTTCAGTTTTTGCACAAATGTTATTTAATGTTTTATTGCTTTTCAGTTTTGGATTTCTCTCATAGTTCAAAGATTGAAAGAAACCTATACTGAAAATATGAAATTCTTGGCTATCATGCTGATTTATTGGACTGAGTACTTGTCACCAGGGTGGAAGAAGTATGTAGATAATATCTCTCTAATCTACATGTATGTTCTGAGTCAGCGATTAAAAATTTTAAATCCCTAGGCAGCCAGAAAAGAGTATACTTTGAAGGAAGCCAGCAATGTCAGGTCTGTGTGTTTTTTCCTTTAAGGGTGCACATAGAGATTAGCGGAGTCTCCTGATTAGTTTTTATCGCTTGGCTTGGAATATAATATAATGGGGCACCTTCACTGGACAATGTTAGGCTAGTAAACCTTGTCTTATTATTGTTTGCTTTTTCACCTGTGCCAGCGTTGTAGGTGTCTGCAAGGAGACTCTCCATAAGCCTCAACATGAAGTGCTCAAGATGTGCTGAAGTCGGTCTGACCACCTTCTAATGCCTATTGGCAGTGTTTCCCAACCTTTTATCAGTCCACACACTCTTTAGAATTGTGCACAATCCCGGGGCACACCAGTCTGAGGCTCCAGGAGGAGCATCTTAGCATGCACTTTTTTGCGTTTTCTTGCACTCCGCATCTTTTAGTGGGCTATCCTATGCATGAGAGAAACGCATATAAGGTGCCTGCACAATGGGGCAAACACATGTATTTGCTGGATTTTCAGGGGTGCCATTAGATTATTGGCACCCACACACATCTGCAAAAGGCAGCACATTTTTGTGGAAAAATGTGTAACTTTGCATGCATTCCCACAGCACACCTGGTATCAACAAGCCCTAAAATGTAGTTTATGCAGCAGAGTTGAGTGGTCAGCGGGTTGTAATGCAGAGATCTGTAGTTTGTAAAACAGAGTTCAGTAGTTTGTAGGGCAGAGAACTCTGCATTACAAACTACTGAACTCTACACTCAAAGTTCAGTAGATAGAAAAGCAGAATTAACAGATCAGTAGTATTTAGCGCAGAAAAACCGTTATATGAAAATATTACATATACTTAAAACAGAACTACATGGCATCTGAGCCAAGAATGCCATTTCATTCATTTTTAATAATCAGCACAAACACCCACTTCCTTCCATGTCTCCATGCTTTATTTTGCTAAGAAATCACTTTGAAAAACACCCTTAGCTATTCTGGCCATGGCCATCTTGAGTAAGTGCAGATGATTCATGTAGCTTTTATTTGCTGGAATCCATCTGCCCTTAACTCAGGCATGCATATGCAGAAGGGTGTACTTAGCTGATAAAACACCTCTCCTCCCCTCCTTTGAAGTCTCCTGACATGTATGACATCATTTGCCTATGCCTGGAAACCAGGAAGTAACTGAAGAAACATTAAAATAAAAAGTTTAAAACAAGTGAATAAGATATACTATTCTAACTATTTACTAATGCTAGCAGCATAAGGATTACAAATAGTCACTGTGTATTGAGAGGGTGACGTTCTGCTTTAGCACTTTTCTAACTGTCCACAGATATTGCTTTGTACCTAAAGAAGCTCAAAAGAGCTCATATGCAGCCTGTTGATCAGCCTTCTCCCTCCGTTGCTCTCCCCACACCTGCATTTGGCCTCTGCACTAGAGAGGCAGGAGAGCAGTAACCCCTAAAACTGTGCAGGCGCCCGACGTGTCCTTAGCAACCAACCCCATCGATTGGTAGGACGCAAGTGGGCAGCCAGCCTTGCACAGAAACTCTGTTTAGATGTAATGAGGATTTAAATTGGACTGGACCAGCATGGGCAGAAGAAAAAAAAAAGGCTTGATTTAACCTCCTTAGTTGGAGCAGTTTTTAATCCTTTAGTTACGGCACCACTGAAGATTTTACCAGCACCCCAGGTGAGAAAGGCTGGTCTGTGTTCATATATACTGAAAGGATAGTTCGCTTATTTGGGCACCTTCCTAAATAAAATATGCCTCTCTGCGTTGCAGTATGTTAATTAAGTTATAATAATTTCTTCTGATTTCAGTCATGTATGAGCGGTGAGCAACTGCGTGCCCTGAATCACCACAAACAGTTTATTACTGATAAGAAACAAGCTCTGATACAGACAGAATTCAGGAAAGCCATTGAATCTGCTGAGCAGGGATCTGAAGGGTGCACAAGAAGAGAGGTGACACCTGTATGGAAAATGCGGATTGTGGATTACAAGGAGCAGGACCCAACTTCAGGTCTGCTTAAACACAGGACATGTTATTTATTTCACATTTACATGATATATTAGTCTTGTTATTTTATATTAATAATCTTATTGTAAATGGTATGAAACGTAAAACATCTTGTGTTCTCTACATAGTGTAGCTGATGTGCATAAGTAATTCTAATGCAGGCCATAGATGGGTCGAAAATCGGCCGATTTTTCGGCCGAAAATAAAATCGGCCGATTTTCGGATCGTTGGTGGGCGATTTGGTCGGCCGTTTTTCGGTATTTTGGCCGTTTTTTTTTTTCCGGTAAAGTTGGAAAAAAATCGGCCGATTTTGCCGATCGGCCCGATTTTCGCGGCAATTAGTGGGCAAATCGGCCGATTTTTTACCGATTAAAAAATCTGTGCATGAGCAGTGACCTGCAAGAGGAAGACAAAAAGAAGAAAAAGAAGAAGAGGAAGACGATGAAGAAGAGGAAGAAAAAGAGGATGAAGAAGAAGAAGAGGATGAAGAAGAAGAGGATGAGGATGAAGAAGAAGAAGAGGATGAAGAAGAGGATGAGGATGAAGAAGAGGAGGATGAGGATGAAGAAGAGGATGATGAGGATGAAGATGAGGATGAAGAAGAAGAGGATGAGGATGAGGATGATGAAGAAGAGGATGATGAAGAAGAAGAAGAGGAAGAAGAAGAGGAAGAGATGAATGAAGAGAGGAGAGATGAAGAAGAAGAAGAAGATGATGAAGAAGAAGAGGATGATGAAAGAAGAGGAAGAGGATGATGATGAAGAAGAAGAGGATGAGGATGATGAAGAAGAAGAATAGGATGAGGATGCAGAAGAGGATGAAGAAGAAGAAGATGAGGATGAAGAAGAAGATGAGGATGAAGAAGAAGATGAGGATGAAGAAGAAGAAGAGGATGAGGATGAAGAAGAGGAAGAAGAAGAAGAAGAAGAAGAAGTAGGATGAAAATAAGAATTCCAGTCCAGCAAAAAGTGTCTCTGCAGAGAGCTCCGCTATTTCTGACAGTTCTCTGACAGTTCCTTGACATTTACAGCGGTTGAAACATTGTATCTATTTGTTTCCGAATAAAAACATCTGTATCCTAAATGGAAACAAATAGATACATTGTTGCAACTTCTATAAATGTCAAGGAACTGTCAGAGAACTGTCAAAGAAATAGCAGAGCTCTCTGCAGGGACACTTTTTGCCGGCTCTAGACGGGTAGAAAATCGGCCGATTTTTTTTACCATTGATGGTAACGTCGGCCACTTGAACAACCGATTTTTCGTTTTTTAAAAGAAAAATCTGCAGTTTTTCTCCCCATCTATGGCCTGCATAAGCCAGGAATACCGTTAACCACTTCCCATCACACCCATGTACATAAACGGCCGGACAGGAGCAGTGCAGGAGCGGGTTGCCGTTCACAAACGGCACCCGCATTTTCAGTTTGTGCGCACTCCCTGAGAGCGCACAGCACCACGACCCAGTGCCTGCCCACTGTGTCCGGAGGTCACAGCGGAACACCGATCGCTGTACAGGACCGCTGTGTGAGATCCTGATCATGTGATCACTGATTGGCCAAGATGTCACTTCGTGACATCATTGCTTACTGCTTGTGAAATCTGTGAATGATCACAGAGGTCACATGGTACAAGGCTATTCACAACAGCCTTGTACCATGTGACAAGCTGTGACCAATCACAGCTCTCACAGTATTTCTCAATGGCTGCAGGAATGCAGGTAGAGAGGAGGAGAAATGATTGCTTTTACAGCCTTTAAGGGTGTAAAAACAATCAGTGTAAAAAAAAAAAATTCATCACCCCCCACAAGTAGTACAGTGTCACTATGGTGTCACTGTACTGCTAGGGTGACAGTATGTTTAAAAAAAATTAAATAAAACATAAAGAATGATATAAAAACAAAATAAAAATGTTAAATATTTTTTTTTTAAATTATAATTTTTGGTTATAAACTAATTTGGGTTATTTTTTTTTTTTTTACTAAAAAGATAACCGAATACATTTTAGCCCAGATTTATAAAGAAAGATTATTTATTTACAAAATGTTATAAGAAAAACACTTTTTTAAAAAAAATTTTGACATTTTCATTTATATAGCAAAAAAAATAAAAATCCCAGTGGTGAATAAATACCACCAAAATAAAGTTTTATCTGTCTCAAAAAAATGCTAAAAAATTCATATGGGTACAGTGTTGCATGACCACACAATTGTCATTCAAAGTGTGATAGCGCTGAAAGCTGAAAATTGGCCTGGACAGGAAGGGGGTAAAAGTGTCCGGGCTTGAAGTGGTTAAAGTGGTTTTAAAGGCAAAAGGTTTTTTTTACCTCAATACATTCTCTGCGTTAAGGTAAAAACAAACTTTCAAAATCTGCTCCCCCCAGCCCCCACTTAAACTCTTACCCGAGCCTGATCTTGATCCAGCGCAGTGCCTATCTGCAGCAGCTCTTCTCCCTTCTCCCTCTTCTCACAAAAGACACAACAGCAGCGGGAGCCATTGGCTCCCGCTGCTGTCAGTCAAATCCTGTGGGGAGAGTGGGGCGCAGGGCTGAGCTGAGCAGTGCTGCGTCTATGGACGCACACAGCCCAGCTCAGGATCAAGCCCACATGAGTGCCACCATAGCAAGCAGCTTGCTATGGGAGTACTCGAAGAAGAGGAGAAGCCAAGATCACCGGCAAAGCACCCCAGAAGAAAAGGTTGGCTGGGTTGGGGCTGCTCTGCAAAACCATTGCTTAGAGCAGGTAAGTATAACATATTTATTATTAGAAAAAAAAAAGGCTTTACAATAACTTTAAAACACACTTGACTTCATTTGCCAGTGTTGGAAACAGTAACTTCCTTTATAGTAACCCAGCAATCCATCAAGTTTCCTGCTCACAGTACAGTACAAACTTGATCCTGTCTCCTGTGCCTCACCTCCACCTTGATCCCATCCTTGCAGGCATACAGTAAAAGCAATAATTAGCCCTAAACTCTGAATTACATCTGAGCTGGCAGCAGCAGCTTTCTTTACTTTTTTTTTGTAAGTTTGATGATAAATGAATGCTTTGGAGGTGTTTAGTGTATGACCGGTCGTGCTATTTAGATCTGTAGGGTATAAGTAGGATTAAATGTATGCATATGGAATGCTACTGTAACAGATACTTAAGAAGTGTTTAGAAGTGTTAAGAAGAATTTTGAATTGTGGATTTCCCAGGATACTATGCTGTTATATAAGATTCCCCTGTGTATGAAAATGTTGTTGTGAACTCTACGCATGAACTAAAAGTAAGAATCTGCATGCAGGTCTTTCCATCAAGGTGCCTCAATTAAGAACTGTCTGTGTTGCTCACAGTAGTTTTCTCTCTTGGCCTAAAATCTGCAATGTTCAGTGAAAAAAAATAAAGTTCATAACATGTGCATTTGTGGCAGTCCTATCTGAAATATTTATCTTCACCTCTCCTTTTAATAGACTATTTGCTCAACATATGGCGTCCTTTACCTGATGTAGTCTCCCTTCTTAAAGAGGGATGCCGCTTCAAGATATATCAGTTGGCCGCCTCCCACTCAAAATGCAAAGCAGACATGGCAGCTGTGCAGCTGACCGCTACAAAGAAGACGCAGTTCCAGCAACAGCAGGTGAGACTTTCTGACAGTGGAGTATGTACTTTCGGTGTGTTGGGCCACATGTCTTCAGCCAGTGATTATCATTTCCTCTTTATACTGAGAAAATAAAAGCATACTAGACATCCATCTATTGTTAGTCTGTGTACTTTGATCCCTGTACTATTGCTATTGACATAGGTTAACTAAACTAAGAGACTAAGAGTCTGGCACTGGGCCTGGGGCTGCCTGAGTAAATCTACAGTATGAGTTGTGTAAACATGTACACCATGAACGGTTCTTCATCTGCTGGATGTGAATATTCCTATTCAGAGATACTATTAGAGCTAAAAAGACTTAAGCTGGCCACACACAGTGCGAATTTCGTCTGGTTCTTGATGAGCTGGCCAAAATTCACTTAGCAGGTTGCCCTGTTGGCTCCTTCTCATCTGACATTGTTCGATTAAAAATTGTGGAACAGTGACTGCATCCAGTCGGAAGCAACCACAATTTGGATATTTTGACAGCCAGTGTGGCATGTATATTCATGAAAGTCATGAAACAAAAATGTCTGTATACCGTACCTTGAAAAAATATTCATGCCCCTTGAAATTTTCCACATTTTGTCATGTTACAGCCAAAAACGTAAATGTATTTTATTGGGATGTGATAGACCAACACAAAGTGGCACATAGTTGTGAAGTGGAAGGAAAATGATAAACGGTTTTCAAAATGTTTTACAAATAAATATGTGAAAAGTGTGGCGCATTTGTATTCAGCCCCCCTGAGTCAATACTTTGTAGAACCACCTTTTGCTGCAATTACAGCTGCTACAGTCTTTTTGGGGATGTCTCTACCAGCTTTGCACATCTAGAGAGTGACATTTTTGTCCATTCTTCTTTGTAAAATAGCTCAAGCTCTGTCAGATTGGATGGAGAACGTCTGTGAACAGCAATTTTCAAGGCTTGCCACAGATTCTCAATTGGATTTAGGTCTGGACTTTGACTGGACCATTCAAACACATGAATATGCTTTGATCAGAGATTTCACAAATATGTGCCACTTTGTGTTGGTCTATCACATAAAATACATTTATGTTTTTGGTTGTAACATGACAAAATACTTTTTCAAGGCACTGTAGCTACCCTTGCAGCTTTTTTCCTAATCTATTAAAACTACCACTGTTTTTGCATTGAAATGCAGACCTACACAGATATGCACAGTTCAGGAGGATTTTCATCGGGCTATTGGAAAACTAAAAGTCAGCAGCTACTTGTACTTTAGCTGCTGACCTTTAAGAAATACATACATACCAAAGGCTAAAGGAAAAGGAAGAGAATGACGTTGACTGTCATTTTTTTTTTTTTGGTGAAAATCCACTTTTTTTTTCATTTTTTGGGGGATATTTTCATTTTTGTTGTATGTAGACCAGTAGTGGTGAACTTTTTTGATATGGGGGCCTCAAGTGTGGCCCCCAATATTACCAAAGGTTTGCATGAAAATGTAATTGAATATTTGTTATCAGAGAAAGCAGACACACAACCAGGATATAGGCAGACTATAGGCATGATACAGAGACTGTACATGCTACAGGGAGTTGTTGGAGGCTGGGGCCATGCTTCGGGTGACAGTCATGGACTGGAGACATATACTCACCGGACACTTTACTAGGTGCACCTGTTCAATTGCGTGGTAACACAAATTGCTAATCATTCAATCATATGGCAGCAACTCAATGCATTTAGGCATCTAGACATGGTGAAGACGACTTGCTGAAGTTCAACCCGAGCATCAGGGGATTTAAGTGACTTTGAAAGTGGCATGAAATGTCTGCAGCATTCTAGGCTGCAGACATTGGCCACAATTGCATTGAAGCACTGCTTGCAATGCACTTGTGGTCAATGTCTGCAGCCTAGAATCATGTTGCCCTCTATTCTTAGTCCTCCCTAGGTCTTTTGGGTGTAGACAATTCCTCTGTCCTGTTGAATGTTTTTACCACAGTCGTGCCTTATGGCCCGAACCAGTTGCTGACTGACCACAAAGCCTTGCAGATTTTCTATTTGATTGACCCTTAGCAGCTTCTAGGCCATTGGTCACAGAGGCTCTGTGATTCTGAGTTGCTTCAATCTTTTTCTGACTAGCTTATTGTGTAGGAGTCGCAGGCTTTTGCTTTTACTCACAAGAGAAACTGTTTCAGTAAAGTGGTTGTAAACCTCTGACATGAAATCTGAATAAAGCATATTTCTGTATAGCAGGGTTAGGCAACCTTTTGAGCATGGTGTGCCGAAAAATGTTTTAGAAGAAACTGAGAGTGTCAGTTATAGAAAAAATGTCAACTTTACACACTCAATCACGAGAAGGAATTTTTATACAGTAAATGCTGTAACTATTTAAATAATAGCAAGAAAACATTGAGCTATCAAGGATGGTAAATGGTAACTCACCCCTTTTCCCAATTTCTGCACCTTTCAGACCCTCAATCAGCCCTCATCCCTGCACTTTCACACCTCCAATCACCCCAAATCCTGCACTTTTATACCCCAGATCAGGCCCAATTCATGCTTCCTCAGGCATGAGATCCGCTCCAGTTTCTGCACTCTCATGTACCAGATCGGACTCCAATTCCTGCACCTTCACACCCCAGACAACCGCAATTCCTGCACCTTCCTACCACAGACAACCCCAATTCCTTTTTATTCATGCCTCAGATCAGCCCCAATTCCCTCACCTTTACACTTCAGATTAGCTTCAATTCCTGGACTTTCACACCTCAGATCACCCAAATTCCTACACCTCCAGACCTCAGTCCAACTCCAATTCCTGCATCTCCCGGCCTCAGATCAGCCTCAATTCCTGCACCTTCACACCTCAGATCACACCAATTCCTGCAACTTCACACCTGAGATTAGCCTCTAATTCCTGCATCTCCAGACCTCAGATCAGCCCCTAATTCCTGCACCTCCAGACCTCAGATCAGCCCCTTATTCCTGCACCTCCAGACCTCAGATCAGCCCCTTATCCTTACACCATCAGCCCCAATTTCTGCACCTTCACACCTCAGATCAGCCCCAATTCCTGCACCTTCAACCCTCAGATAAGTCCCAATTTCTGCAACTTCACACCTCAGATCAGCCCCAATTTCTGCAACTTCACACCTCAGATCAGCCCCAATTCCTGCACCTTCACACCTCAGATCACCCCAATCCCTGTACCCTTCTACCTCAGATCACCATAATTCCTGCACCTTCACACCACAGATCAGTCCTAATTCCTGCACCTTCACACCTCAGATCACCATAATTCCTGCACCTTCACACCACAGATCAGTCCCAATTTCTGCACCTTCACACCTCAGGTTACCCCAATTCGTGTATCTCTAGACTTCAGTTCACCTGCATTTTTACAACCCAGATCAGCCCCCATTCCCATTCCTTCAGGCCTCAGATTAGTCTCAATTCCTGCAGTTTCCCACCTCAGATCACACAAATTACCTGCATCTATACATCTCAGATCACCCCAGTTCCTACATCTCCAAACCTCAGAGAAGCCCCAATTCCTGCACTTTCAACCCTCAGGTAAGTCCCAATCCCTGCACCTTAACGCCTCAGATCAGCCCCCATCCCTGCACCTCCAGACCTCAGTTCAGCCCCCATCCCTGCACCTCCAGACCTCAGTTCACCCCTATTCCTGCATTTTTACAACCCAAATCAGCCTCAATTCCTGTTCCTTCCGGCCTCAGATTAGTCCCAATTCCTGCACTTTCCCACCTCAGATTACCCAAATACCTGTAACTTTACACCTCTGCTCATCTCCAATTCCTGCACCTTTACAGCTCATATCACCTCAATTACTGTATCTTCACACTTCACCCCAAATCCTGCATTTTCACATCTCAGATCACCTCCTATCCTGCACCTTCACACCTTTGATCACCTAATTTAATTTACTTTCACACTTCAGCCCACCCTAATTCCTGCACTTTCACACCCCAGATCAGCCCCAAGTTCTGCTCCTTCAGACCTCAGATCAGCCCCAATTCCTGCACCTTCTGGCATAAATGGACCAGAGCTGTTTCCAGATAGATGCTCTAGAAATTAATACCAGCCAATGCTCCAGTGAAGACATCACCACCGCAGTAGAATTGGAGAATTGAGTACCAGTTCCTGCAGTTCCTAATTCCTTTTTCTAAGGTTGTAGTTTCCAATATCTGTTCTGAAGTTGTAGTTCGCCATAGAAGTTCTAAAGTAGTAGTTACCAAATCTTGTTTTAAAGTAGTAGTTCCTTCTATTTGGACGCCACGTTGAATAGCAGCGACAGGAATCTGCTGATTCCTGCTGCTGTTTCTGACACCTGTGAACTGCTATCTGCCGCCACGAAGCCTGTACAGTACACTTTTATTACAAGTTGCCGGTGGCCATAGCTATTTGTGGCTGTTCACTCAACTGTCAATTACTTGTGGTGATTGCTGCTGAATGCACACAAAGTGTGTGTTCAGCAGCCATCAATGCAGGTAATCACTGACTATGTGAACAGTCATGAATATCTGCAGCACCCAGTAACCTGTCATTGTAGTGTACTGTATGGGCTTGGCGACTGCAGCTAACTGCTCACTGGTGTCGAAAATAGCAGTAGGAATCAGCACATTCCTGTCACTGCCATTCACACCATGGCTAAATGCCAATGTGAATGAAGCCTAAATTAGTAATTCCCAATAGCTGTTATGTCAGACAAGCCTTGAAAACTCCACATTCTCTAAAACCTCCTTTGTGCTGAGTTACTCATAAAAGATTGCTGTGGAAGGGATTAATATCCACTTGAATATAAACCTCTCTAGCTATATTCCCTCCAAGCTGAGCTAGACGCATGGATGCTGAGGGAGAGAAAAGTTCAGAGGGAGGGCAGGTCCACCAATGGTAAAAGCCTGGAAATGAGCTGGCTCAGGCTACAGTGCTGTATCACAGAGGAGTAAAAATACTCAATTTAATTACCCTTCCCAAAGTGAGAACAAGCAGCCTGGGGAAACCGACTAGACACAGCTTCAGTGTGAAGAAATCAACACAGACACTGACACCAGTGGGAATAGAGGTGGGCAGGCACCAGCCACGCTGCTTCTTCAGTATGCAGCTGCTGTCCAGCTTTATTGTTTGGGAGGTGGGTATCCCAGGACTGGTCTTGGGTGCCGTCCTTGATGCTGTCAAGTACCACCTCTGGCACTAGTGCCGGAGGTTGCCTACCCCTACTCTATAGTGTGTACGAGTCACTTCTGACAAGTTTTCCTGACACCAAGAGCTTTAAAGATGACGAGAGGGAGCTTTAGCACACAGTCTGTGATTGACAGCCTCAGCTCTGTTACTGTGTGAAGAGGAGTGTACCCCTTCCTTTCAATCTGCTCTTCTCACTGAGTGTAACTTCAGCTCCCCACTTTCTAAAATCTCATACAAGTGTGTACAAAGTCTGGACTTTGAACAGCTGTAGAGAAGAGAGGGCTGCTGAAGATAAACATGTACAACTTATGTAGGAGGATTTGTTTCATCTTTGTGTATCACCTGAAGCTATTCACTTTACTAGATATATGTAAGGCTTTACAACCACTTTATCGATGCAGTATGTACCACGCCACAGAAAATCAGACTGTTGTTTCTACCAGCGCTTCTTCCAGTCTTAGATATTTAGAGTTCCCTATAACTGCAAAAACATTCTTCTTGCACCTGCTGTTCCAAGTCTTCCTCCACGGTGAATGGAATCAGCCAAACAAAAATGTTTACTCCTCCCAAATGTTTACTAGTCTTTTTATTGATTTGAGGAGGATTTCGTAGAATACTGGTCTATCTTACTGTGAACATTCCAGGCTTTTGAGACCTCCTTCCCAAATCAACATCCTGGAGCTTTGGGCAGGCTGGCTGTCTCTATTACTTGTCTTGTTCTAAGCACTCAGCTGGACATGCACAAGATGCTTAACAAAAAATATCCCTCTATTCGCTTTTGCATGAAGGTTCTTGGACACATGGTAGTCTCCCTCCAGGCTGTGCACTTTGCCCAGTTTCATTGCAGGATCCTCCAATGGAATGTCTTGGCTGCATGGGACAGTATGATACAGTTATTGGATTCCCAATGATGATAAAGCCCACAGGACTGGCTCTTGACTGGTGGATATGCTCACAGATGCTGGAGATGAGAAAATCGTTTCCCTCTCTATCCTAGAGGGTCCTGACGATGGATTCTAGCCTGGTGAGCTTGAGTGGAATTCTGGACAATCTCTCAGTCCAGGGAACCTGGCCACCACAGTAGAGATTCACCTTGCCCTGCTGCATTGGTTGTTGCAGCTGAAGGGCCTCTCTGTGAGGGTTTAGTCAGACAGAGTCACAGTGGCAGTGTACATAACTCATCAAGGAGGCATCAGGAGGCAGGCAGCCAGGGGGAAGTGGACCTCATCTTGTCTTGGGCAGGACTTAATTTTCCTGCACATTCCACCATCCATATTCCAGGTAGGAAAATTGACAGGTGAATTTTGTCAGCTGTTAACTGCCTCCGGCGGGAATTGGCTCTTCACCTAGAGGTGTTCACAGTGCAAAACCCCAGATGTGGATTTTTTAGAGTCCAAGTACAATGTTCAACTGGAGGGGTTTGTTTCCAGGACAATGTGGGACCAGTTCTCCCTAATATATTTCTTTCCATAATTGTGGCTTCTAAGTAATCTGCTTCCCAGAATTTCAGTGGAAGTAATTCTGGTGATTCTGATCTCCCCAGCCTAACCAAAGGGAACTTGGTACTGCAACATTGTGAACATGGTGGCGGACAACCCCTTGGACCTTTCCGGATCAACCTGACCTATTGCTGCAAGGTTCAATCTTCAATCCCTCTTTACTACAATCACTGGCATGGTTGTTGAAGCCAGAGTCTTGCGAGACAGGGTACATAGTTACATAGTTAGTCTGGCTGAAAAAAGACAAAAGTCCATCCAGTTCAACAATAAAAAAAGAAAGTTATAATCCTATACCCACAGTTGATCCAGAGGAAGGCAAGAAAACCCAGCAAAGCATGATCCAATTTGCTCCTGCTGGGAAGAAAATTCCTTCCTGATCCCCCGAGAGGCAATCGGATATTCCCTGGATCAACTTTACCTATAAATGTTAGTATCCAGTTATTTTCTGTGTATCTAAGAAACAATCCAGGCCTTTTTTGAAGCAATCCACTGAGCTGGCCAGAACCAACTCTAGTAGCTATTTTTTTCATTCCTACCCTGCCAAAAGCTAGGAAGGCGACTTGAAGGAAGATTGAACACAAAACTTGGAAATCAGCTTTTGCCTAGCATGATGTTAGGAGATTTTATGTTGTGGGTCGCATCCTGGCTTTTCTGCAGTCTGGAGTTAATCTGGGACTGGCCTTGACTACGATTACGGGTTATATTTCAGTCCTTTTTCAGAGACCAATTGCTACACATTCCTTGGTATGTGCATTTGTACAAGGCGTCGCATTGTTTCACCAGTTGTTATTATTATTATTATTATTACATCGAGCTTTTATAGCGCCAAAGGGTTTGCTCAGCGCTGTACAAAAGAGGGGGGGGGGGGGGACAATACATGAAACAGTACAGCAACAACAAACAGCACATGAGGGGTTAGAGGGCCCTACTCTTTTGAGCTTACAATCTAGGAGGGAGGGGGTAGTGGTACAGGAGGAAGTGGCTGTGGGGGATGGAGTGGTAGGAGGAATGAAGGAGAACGGCTGTTAGGTGAGGGTGGGGTAGGCTTCCTTGAAGAGGTGGGTTTTCAGGGAGCGCCGGAAGGTGATAATCTGATGGATTGGGGTAGTGAGTTCCAGAGGATGGGGGAGGAACTGGAGAAGTCTTGCAGTCGTGCGTGGGAGGAGGAGACCAGGGAGCAAGATAGGAGGTCCTGTGAGGAGCGAAGGGTACGGGTAGGGTGGTACTTGGGAATCAGGTTGGTAAGGTAGTCAGGGGCAGTGTTGTGAATGGCTTTGTAGGTCAGAGTTACTAGTTTGAATTTGATGCATTGGGCAATCGGGAGCCAGTGGAGGGATAGACAGAGGGGGGGGCAGAGGTGGAGCAGTTGGTGAGGTGGATGAGTCTGGCCGCTGAGTTCAGGATGGTCTGAAGCGGGGAGAGCCTGCGCTGGGGTAGGCCGGTGAGGAGGGAGTTGCAGTAGTCAAGGCGTGAGATAATCAGGGAGTGTACGAGTAGTTTAGTAGTGTCTGGGGTAAGGAAGGAGCATATCTTGGCAATGTTGCGGAGGTGGAGCCTGCATGTGTTTGTAAGTGATTTGACATGAGGTTGGAAGGAAAGGTTTGAGTCCAGAATGACGCCAAGGACTTTGGATTGCGGGGCAGGATTGATGGTGGTGTCGTTGGTAGTGATGGATAGGATGGGGGGGGGGGGGCGTGGGCAGGGGGAAAGACGAGGAGCTCGGTTTTGGAGAGGTTAAGCTTGAGGAAATGGAGCGACATCCAGTCTGAGATGTCGTTTAGGAGGTGAGTGATGTGGGCGGAGACTGTGGGGGTGAGGTGAGGGGTGGAGAGGTAAATTTGAGTGTCATCAGCATAGAGGTGATAGTTGAAGCCGTGGGAGTGTATGAGTTTGCCAAGGGAGGAGGTATAGATGGCTCTGTCAAGTTTTTGGAATTGGCTGCTCTTTCCTGTAAGGAACAGTTTCTGGTGCTCTTCTGTGGCAAGGAGGTTCTTTGGCATCAGCCATAATTTTTACCTAAAGTGGTTTCTTCATTTCATCTTGTCTTGCCATCCTTCTCTGCTAAACCACAGATTGCTGCAATTTATCAGTCGGATTCCCTCTTTGTGCTTCCCGAGGGCCAAGGAGAGGTGTCACATAGCTTCTAAGTCTGACATTTCTGAATGGATCAGTCAGCTTATTTCTCAAGCATATAGTCTGAAAAGTTTTTGGTGACAGCTCATTCTACCAGGAGTGTTGGTATTTTCAGGGCTATTAATCATGAGGCTTCTGTAACTTAGACTCCTACCTGGTCTTCAGTTAATACGTTTATGAATTTCTACCAAGTGGATGTTCAAGCTGCAGGGGACATTTCCTTTGGTCAGCGAGTATTACAGATTGCTTCATGAGGTTCAAACCTGTTTGGTTTGGTGTTTGGGGCCTGTTGGCTTGTTGCTGTGATGCCCTTCCGTTTTTAAAGGATAAGTTCAGGGTGTAACATATTATGATTGGGACCTGTCCCCGCTCACCCAGTTTGACAGCTAGCAGGGGATCTTTATGTCCAGTGTTCATCACCTGAAGGTAGCAGCATAACCCTATCGTAACCCAGATGATGAAGATAAACTGTGTCTTGTGATGTACTCCAAGAAAAGGGTTTTACAAGTAAACCAAAAATCCCATTTTCATGGAGTCCATTGAGATTCACGGGTCCCACCCCTTTGTGTTTGTGATCATGCTCCCAGTACTGCTTTGCTACAAACCAAGGCTTGCTGTTAGTGGAAGGTGTTATCATGGACTGACCTATTTTTTTTTTTTTTTCTTTCAATGGATTCCAAAAAAAGATTTTATGGTGAGTTAAAAAATCCTATTGGCTTTTTAGGCAACATTAATGAGTACACATTTTATGTTTGGTAGAAGTATGGTTTTGTTTTTTGATTACCCAATTTAAATTTACCCCTGCTTTTATCAGTGTGTATGTGTCAGCCCTCACAGGATATCCTGGAACAGATTTACACAGAGAGGCAAGTGACTGACTTCAGCCAGCTTGTGAAGCCTAATTTTGCAACAGAGTACTGTGAGGTTGACATTGTGGGCTTGGTGATATCCACACACCAAAAAATAGGTACAAACCAAAGACTATACTAACACTTGAAAAAAAAAATGATATAATGAAAATGCACAGATTTGGAATGCCAGATTAAAGCAGATAGTGTTTCATGTATGAACATTGTGTTTTACAGGTGCCGCCCCTATTGTGTATTTGTCTGATGAAGCCCAAGACATTGTAGCAGTTAAATTCTGGACAGACCTATCCCAGCTGACCCTGGAGGAACTCACAAAACCTGGTACTTTAATTGCAGCCAGTAACCTTCGCTGGAGATCAGAATATACTGCTGGAATTCCCATTGTGTCTTTTGGAGATCTGTCCTATATTACTGCTAACCCCAAAGAGCAACATTTGCAAAAGACTATTCACAAACTTCGCCAGTCTGTCCAGGTACCACTTCTGTTTGTAACACAAAAAAGCGACACATTGAAGGCTATAGGATCCATTCAGAAGTTCATTATGTTAACCGCTTAAGGACAACCCTATAGCAGAAATACTGCTACAGAGCGGTACCTGTGCGCAAAATCATGTGTATATATACGTGATTTTGCAGTTCCGGGTAGGGGGCGCGCGCTGCCTACCCGCGCCACCATTCGCAGCCGCGGATGTCAATCACCGTGTCCCGGCCGGTAATTGCCCACCGGCACCCGGTGATTACTGACAGTCTTCCTCCTTGTCAGCTTGGGCACACTGCTCGGGATGGCTGTGCACATTACATTTGGGCTTTTATTAGACATGGACATAGCTCAGTTCAATGTCAAATTTCACACCTGTACAAGTTAAATCTTTGGTGCCCCTGCAATATGATTTTTCCAGCTCTGTGGACCTTCACAACACATGAACAGTTTTTGAGACTATGGAATGTTTTTAGGAAATACTACATAGGTTTAACATATCTATTGATCCTGAACTTTATTTATTAGCAGGATCCTTGTCCCTTGTAGTATATGCATCATTTTATTCACAAGCTTTTGATAAAGTAAACACTAAAATAGTAAAAACATTAGATGAGAAAATCAGCCACAAAATACTGCATTCAGAGCGATCGTCCGGTAATCTGTTCATTAGTACACAGCTTGCAAGAGCCGATCTTGACAGTTCATGTGAAAATACCGAACGGACAAGCACGAAAATTTTTTTCATACAATAGCAGAATGGAAGATTTTCGTTTATTCAGTACACTATTCGTCCATAAAAAAAATCGAGTTAACAAGATGGAGTATGCCCGGAAATGAAAGAATATAATACATTATTATTATTATACAGTATTTATAAAGCACCAATAGTTCGCTCAGCACTGTATTTTACAATGGGGGACAGAACGATAACAATACAATACAATGCAAAACATGAGGGGATTGAGGGCCCTGCTCTTTCGAGCTTACAATCTAGAAGGGAGGGGATGGTGGCACAGGAGGAAATAGCTGTGGGGGATGGAGTGGTAGGAAGAGTGGAGGAGGTCGGCAAGTTAGCAGGGGGTGGGGTAGGCTTCCCTGAAGAGATGGGTTTTCAGGGTACATTACATCACTTCCGAAGTTGTACTCTGTCTTACGAGACTTTTCGAAACTTTAGCAACCTCTTCATTTTTGATGTGAGACTAGCATGCAAAACAATGGCTGTAGGCTGCGATGGCAGATGCATGTGTCCTGGTAGATACTGTGCTAGTAGAAGAGGAAGTGAAGAGGTCAAATAAAAGTCCATTTGACACTTGCTGCTGTTATGCAGTCTTTGCACTCATACTGTTTAGTGGAATGTTCATATAAAATATATGGAGAACTCCATCAGGTCACTTAAAAAGTGCTGACCAGTACTGCCACCAGTGATGTCATTGAGAGCTGTCAACACCAGGCAGAGATTGAATCCCATCCCCCCAAGAAACAAATTTTGGGCAGTAGTAGGGTAATCGCGTTTAAAATTCAATAAAAGAATGAGGCTGTCTTGGTAAGTATACAACTGATCTAAGGACGTGAAGCAGAAGGGACAAAACGCATTGGATATATTGTGCATTCAAGGTAAAAGGGTGACTATTACCATGCTAACCTGAACATACTCTGTACACAGGCTATCCAGAAGTTCCGCCATGAAGCAGAGATAAAACTGTTCGACATCCTAAGAGTCCCCCATCCTGAGGAGAAAAGGCCTCTGGCTCAGCACAGTTCAGATTCACACACTGTCACAAACAAGTTCTCGGTAAGTTCACTGCTGCTTTTCTAACATAGTACCCGGTCTTGGCAGGACCATGTTATGTTTACACAGCAACTTGAAATAAATCAGCCAACATACCTGAGTGGTTGAAGAACAGGAACGCAATAAATTGTTTCTGGAGGGCAGGCTAGACCTGCCAAAAATCAGGGTCTTTAGTGTTGATTGTATACTTGCTTGCCCCCTTAATTAGTAATAGTAGTACCACTTGTAGCTCTGTGATTAGGCTTTTGCAGACTCTTAGCAGAGCCATACTGTATGGAATCACAGAGACACGTATGTGAATGTTCAGAAGTCAGACCTTCGACCAAGGTGCAGCAGTTACTCTGTCAGCACGAGACCAGTGACTGATGTACGTAATATTTAGGAAATAAACTTGATAGTTTTAAGCCTCCATTCACACTACTGCAACTCAAAATCAGGTGCCGAGTGTTGCTGCGCTTCACGTGTTGGACAGCCTATCATCTCAATGGGTTGCCTTAATGGCAGCATAGAAGCTTATGTGCCTTTTTGCAGTTTCTTTTTTTCAGCCTTGTGTTTATTGTGCATCCTTGCTTGTGTTTGGGATGTCATGAACCATAAATGGCACGGCAAGCGTAACACATTTTCTTTTCCAATTATATTTCTTTTTCCAAGAGAAAATGGCATATGTATGTATGCTTCCATATGATGTACATTTTGTACGTGAATGTGGGCTACCTGTCCTCCACTGTATTTACTACTGTAACATATTGAAGCAGATGTGTGTAAAGTATTTGGCATTCTGTCTTCCTGCAAGTAGGAACTATAGTTCTTGTATCCATCTCATTGTTTCTGAATAACATAAATTTATCAGGCATTGAAATGAAAACATGAATTTTGTTTTATAATATCATTGTATAAAGCAATAAGCTTTGCACCCTAATATTTTCACTTGTAGACGCCAGTGGCCAAACTTGGAAGAGCCCAGATGAATCCTCTGAATACCCCGGACAGTAGTAATACAATAATCAGCTCTATCAGCGACAGAGATCCAAAGACTTGCAAGAAGATGAAAGGTCTGGACTTCCTTAGCCGGATACCTTCCCCTCCACCGCTAACACCAGTGCACCCCTTTGTGTCACCATCATTACAGAGAGCGTTTCGTCCTCCTCGAAACATGCAGAAAGATGTACAGACAAGTGAACAGCCCATTCTAATAAGTAAAAGAGAATTTGTAGCCGATGAAGAACTGGCCATGATTAATACACAAGCTCTTGTTTCAGGTATAGAGGAAGGGAATAGACAGCCAAAAGCAGAAACATCTGCTGATCTGCAAAAAGGAAAGATCTCTCCTAATCAGTCCACGGGTAAACCTGATCCATCAGTTACCAGCAGCCATACAGATATTGATACAACCACAAAGAAAGAAGACACAGGCTTCACTGACCAAAGAAAACTCCGCAGAAGAAGGAAACACAAACTTTAAACAACATCTGGCCTTTATTTATACAGACACTGGAAACTGTACATATGTTTAAAATGTTAATACAGTGTAAATATAAAAATTGTTGTGTTGGAATGTACACATTAAAACACTTTTATCACAGTATTTTCTGGAAAGAATAGATTTAAAGACCTCCAGCAAGTGTACAACAGAGGCCTGTCAGGAGTATAAACAGGCCTGTGAGCCTTCCTGTCTGCAGCTTTAGACCTAAACTATATGGGTGAGTTTAATCCAGCAACTGCATCCCCTTCACTAGCAATGTCCTCATGCAGCCGCTGCATTAATCCATTGTAGATTAGGCCTAATTGTTCAGCCCTGGGGCATTGTCTGCAAATGCTGGTAAAACCTTCCCGGTGTCAGGGATATGCTCTAATGCAACTATAAACTGCTCACAAATAATTACAATTTCTCAAAATATTTCTTAGGAAGCAAGTTAATATAAAAAGATACATGATAGTATTCCATAGGCATGGACATTTCTAGAAGTCGTTTTATACAGGTAACCACATCCTGCTAGATGCCTGTGTGGCTGACAAAGTTTAGAGACAACTGTGCAATAATAGCTGGTAATGTGATGGGATTCAAAATCATGAAAGCTACGATACCTCTTAGACAACCCCCCCATCCCAAATTAAGTGCCACCTAATGTCTCAGCATTCATCTCTTTCCTTGGGCCTGATTCTAACCTTTATTTTTTATTAGTGCATTTTGCTGAAACACATTAATCTTCATTTAATATGACTTCCTATGGTACATGTTCACAACTATGTGTTTTTCAGCAGCTGTGTTTTTGTAAAGGGTCAGGGACTTTTTTTTTTTTTTTTTAAACAAAGTACGGTGTGTTTGTGGTTCAAGACTTCAATAGACATGTGGCAGAAACAGATGTAGTGTATTTTTTGCCAATAGGAAAGTACTGAAGCCACTTCGATGTGAATTTGGATGGGTGAAACTTGGAGGTGACTTGGATGTGATTTTAGATGTATGCAACTTGGATGCCACTTTGGATGGGTGCACTTGGAGGTGACTTGGATGCTACTTTGGATGGGTGCGACTTGGACGTGACTGTATTGCTACTTGAGTGCTAGAGAATGTAGTCGCATCAAAGTTGCACTACATGAACAGAACTGTCATACTTTTTTTTTTTTTTTTGCTAACAGGAATGTATGACAGTTCTGTTCATGTAGTGCGACTTTGATGCAACTTTACACTCTGACACTCAAGTAGCATTAAAGTCACATCCATCCAAAGTAGCATCAAAGTCAATACTTTCTTATTGGCAACAGAAAAGTATTAAAAACACTTCTTCAAAAATGCACGGTAAAACAAGCCCAAAAAACGCATCAATCGCAACATGCAGAGGTGTGAACCTAGCCTTAATCCATCCAAGGCTACTCTGCTTAGGTCACCTCAGACATGCTGGACTAAGTGGTCTAGTGTGAAGTAAGGAACTCAGAGTTGGGCTCTTATAATAGGAGAATATCCCTGACTCTTGTTTTGTAACTTTATACGTGGAGAAATATAGGAGCCCTTTACCACCATACACTTGGCAGGTACGGTTTGCAGAAACTTCAATATAGGGCTTGGACTGGTCCCCATATATACTTTTTCCAAATATATTACTTTTATTCTCAAACTTCCTTCTGTGCTTGTCACCATTAGACAATACACAGACAGACCCTGTAAAAGTATTTGTTTACTCTACATGTCATACACAAGCCATATTATATAGTGGGGCTGGACTTAATCAGGTAGCCTGTGGCAACCAATTTATCAGATCTGTTTAGTAAGGCAGGCCATAGACGGGCCGTTTATCGGCCAAATTTTTGGACGATAAATGAAAAATTGTCGATGCTGCCACCCATATCCACGAAAAACTGCTGTTTTTTTGCGGATTTTCCAGCATGACCGATAAAAATAATTGAGGAGATTCGCGAAAAACAGCCGACGGGCTGACCCCACTAACAGCGTGATTATCAGCCGATTTTCCATGCGGATGAAAGTTCGGCCAATAAACGACCCGTCTATAGCCTGCATTAGAGTTGACATGGGCTGCACTTTATGAATCACCCCCCCCCCCCCCCACCTTGCTTTACTGTCACTCACAAAGAAATCAGAATGTTTCCACTAGGTGATCAACTGCTAACCTTTCCTGTGGTTTTACTCCTGACGGACAAACCTAGCAGGTGTTTGTCATTCTGTATGGCTGGTATTGGGAACAGAACTGTGTTTAGGAGAAGTTGCACAAAAACACTAAATACACTTGTACAATTAATTATACTTAAAAATTATTGTTTTCAAATCCCTGTACAGATTACAGCATTTGCCAGTAAAAGTCTTACAACACATAAAAAAAAAACAAATATAAATCTGTTACCTTGATTAAAAAGAAAAAAAAAATACAACTAGATTTTTAGTTAAATATAAAAACATCATTGTGCAATGTTAAAGGTACTAAAGAAAGTTATGTTTAAAGAGAAAATGTGCAAGTTTGTATTGTCATTGGATTAGTACATGCAGCACAAAAGAACACAAAGTGGTGTATTTGTTTAAAAAAAAAAAAAAAATGCAAACTTTTTGTCCTTGAAATGACATGTAATTCCTTCTGTTTGAATGGGGGGACAACAAGAAATGTCATTAGGCTATTTTCTTCCTGGTGGAATGTTATTTATGCATAAGGAATAGAGTGAGGTAGGCAAAAACTGCAATAAAGCTACTATATGCAGCTGCTGGTCGCAGGAAATAAATACTTATTAAAGCTCTGTGCACACTGGCTTAAATAAAAACGCTGCTTCTAGAGGAGTTTAGTGTTTTGCCTGTAGAAGCAACTAATGTTATCATTAGCATGATTATCATGGGCAGCACAGTGGCTGAATGGTTAGCATTTCCACCTGGCAGTACTAGGGTCGCTGGTTCAGATCCCAACCATGGCACCACCTGCCTGGAGTTTGCATGTTCTGTCTGTGCCTGCGTGGGTTTCCTCCGCATACTCTGGTTTCCTCCCACACGCCAAAGACATGCTGGTAGATTAATTGGCTCCTGTCTAAAATGGCCCCTAGTATGTGTATGTATGAATGTGAGTTAGGGACTTTAGATTGTACAACCCTTGAGGGTTAGGGACTGATGTGAATGTACAATATATATGTAAATCGCTGCATAAATTGACAGCACTATATAAGTACCTGAAATAATAAATGTTATCATATGTGTCCATGCACATTGGGTTGTTTAGTGGCATATTTTAAGCTCACCGTTTAGAGACAGAAAAAAAAAAACCTTCTGTTTTTGCATTTTTAGAGCGTTTTTCTGGCAGAAAAAAAATGCTCAAAATTACTGTTTTTTGTTTTTTTTTATCTGCTAGTGTGCATGGACCCTTAATAAGATTGTTGGCTCCATCTAAAAGCCATAATGCAGTATTTCCTGATTTCAATATAAATATTCAATCTGAAGAGAAAAATAGCTTAACATTCATTTTTGCCTCCATTCACATTTTTATAAATACACCACTTAGAGCAAAAGCTTCACAATTCTCCTAAACACGATTGAAGGAGGCCTTTTGTGACCTTACTATTGCTGAAAAGCCATAAGGAATCTTTTACTGTCTGCCATACAGCACTGTTGGGATCAGTCAGGGACTCTCAACCACTAGTAGGACTCAGGCCCTAATTGTGAATCCATCGCTTGTATGACTATGGACTCCCTAGGAGGATTACCAAAGGAACAATGAAGATCACCTAGCAGCAACAGATAGGAAAGGAATTGCAGGTAGGATGCTGGTGGGTTTTTGGACTGTTTCTGCCAGCAAAAAGCCTTAGTGCCTTGTGCATGTCCACCAATTAGCTGCATTTCAGACATTAGTTCTGAGCTCCAGCTATGACAGTGAGCTCTATAGTTCTGCTACATGGAAGGGAACCAGCACATATCCTATGTACAGTTGTGTTCAAAATAATAGCAGTCAGACATCACTAACCTGATCAATCACTGTTTTTGGTAAATGATATTTCTACATGGCAAATAATTTACTAGCAGGTGTAGTAGAGTAATAGAAATCCAACAGACCCAACAGTCATGACATGCATGCTGCTGATTCTGTGTAATTGAATCACTAATTGAAAGGGGAATGTTCAAAATAATAGCAGTGTGGAGTTCTATTAGTGAGGTCATTCATTCTTTGAAAAACAGGTGGCAATTATTGCCCTTATTTAAGGAAGGAAGGCAGCAAATGTTGTACATGCTGGTTACAGTGCATTTCTCTCTGAAATTCTGAGGAAAATGGGTCGTTCCAGACATTGTTCAGAAGAACAGCGTATCTTGATTAAAAAGTTGATTGGAGAGGTGAAAACATATAAAGAAGTGCAGAAAATGATAGGCTGCTCAGCTAAAATGATCATAAATGCTTTAAAATGGCAACCAAAACCTGGAAGACGTAGAAGAAAGCGAAAAACTACCATTCGAATGGATAGAAGAATAGCCAAAATGGCAAGGACTCAGCCAACAATCAGCTCCAGGAAGATCAAAGAAGGTGTAAAGTTACCTGTGAGTACTGTTACAATTAGAAGACGCCTATGTGAAGCCAAGCTATCTGCAAGAAGCCCCTGCAAAGTCCCACTGTTGATAAAAAGACATGTGCTGAAGAGGTTACAATTTGCCAAAGAGCACATTGACTGGCCTAAAGAGAAATGGAGCAACATTTTGTGGACTGATGAAAGTAAGATTGTTCTTTTTGGGTCTAGTGGCCGGAGACAGTTTGTCAGACGACCCCCAAACACTGAATTCAAGCCACAGTACACTGTGAAGACAGTGAAGCATGGTTGCGCAAGCATCATATATGGGGATGTTTCCCATACTACGGTGTTGGGCCTATTTATCACATACCAGGGATCATGGATCAGTTTGAATACATCAGAATACTTGAAGAGGTCATGCTGCCTTATGCTGAAGAGGAAATGCCCTTGAAATGGGCGTTCCAACAAGACAACGACCCCAAACACACCAGTAAACGCGCAACATCTTGGTTCCAGACCATCAAGATTGACGTTATGGAGTGGCCAGCCCAATCCCCGGATCTTAATCCAATAGAAAACTTGTGGGGTGACATCAAAAATGCAGTTTCTGAGGCAAAACCAAGAAATAGAGAAGAACTGTGGAATGTAGTACCAATCATCCTGGGCTGGAATACCTGTTCACAGGTGCCAGAAGTTGGTTGACTCCATGCAACACAGATGTACAGCAGTTCTCAGAAACAGTGCTTTTACAACTAAATATTAATTAAGTGATTCAAAGGAAAGCAAAATCTTCAAACATTTTTCAGTTTATATAGTGAATGTTTGAGTTTGTAAAGAAGAATACAAACACTGCTATTTTTTTTTGAACAGTCTAATATTCACTTTTCTTCAATTTTTTTATAGGAACACAAATTTGATATATTTTTCTTCATGTTTTGATTTGGAATAGAATGTGTAGTGTTCCCAATGCATTTGTGTGTATGGAAAGAAAAGCTATTAGAAGGATTTTGAGCTTTATTCACTTTTTTCAACACACTGCTATTATTTTGAACACAACTGTATGTGACAGGACCATTCTAAGACACTGCAGGCTCAGTTCACTAAACTACAACAAATATTTACCTAATACCGCTGATTTCCATCAAGCTGAATGATAAGTCAGAATTAGTGCTACAGATCAGTTGTATGACATGGGGCCCTAGTGAGAATTAAGGACATGTTTAATAGCAAGGAAATCACGTTTAGGGAACTACATATCCTAGCATGACTCAGAGATGAACTAGATACTGAAGGAACTGTAAGGACATGACAGAAAATGTCTAACCATAAGCAATTCTTGCTGTCATCTCTTGTTAATCTATACAGGAATGTTGTCAGTGATGTTCAAATTGCATTTCTTAGCAAAATTGATATAGTTTTGTTAGGGTTTGTACATCTGCTTCTACAGTATGCAGACCAGCATTTCAAGGTCAAAAGGATCACTTTCTAAAAATGGTAAGTGCCTATCTGTTGTTCTACAGTTTTGTTTTTTCATTCTTTATTTAGGTTTTTTTTTTTACCAAGGACATATTGGTGGTCAACGTATGCATTAATGTCATATGTATGCAATACAGCCATTTGTTTTTAAATCTTTGACCCACAATAAGAATGCAGATCAGGGAACATATACTGGTTTATGATCAGTGACTTAAAATAGCAAGGGGTTCAGCAAGATGGCCAGTTAGATAGCATTTTTCAGAAAGAGGTCTGCAATGGCAGCCTCCATGTTTCTTTTTGCACAGGTTACTTAGAGTGGTAGTAAACCCTTACATATACCCAGTGAAGTAACTGGCCTCAGGTGATACACAGAGATGATACAAATCCTCCTACATAAGTTGTACCTGTTTATCTGTCATCTTCTCTACATCTGTTCAAAGTTAAGAATTTGTACAGGTTGTCTGAGATTTCAGAAAGCAGAGACTGAAGTTACACTCTACAGATCTCAGTGAGGAGAGGTCTGAGAGCTGTTTGGATGGAAGGGACACATCCCCTCCACACAGAAACAGAGCTGAAGCTGCCAGTCACAGGCTGTGTGCTTCAGATCCCTCTCCTGTCCCCTTTTTTCCTTTTGGTGTCACAAAAACTTGTCAGACATGACTCATGCAGATAGCAAAAGGTACAGGATTGAACAGAGAGATGACAGTGCTCTGGATAGAGGCAAGTACACACTGTAGAAGGATATACTTTGTGCATATTTCACATCTGAGGTTTACAACCACTTTAGATTCTGTATCAAAATATTTTTGTTGGGGAATATTTGCAGTAAGATCCTATTCAGACATGACTAGTGTTTGTTGTATTTTGGCCATGGTGTCTTGCGTTGTAACAATGCAAGGCACAATAAAAATTGCCATTTTTTTTTTCCCCATAGACTATATACTACTCACTCCCAGCATTGTACTGTCATTTGATGTGAGATAAAGTGAATTTAAAGTTGTATATATGCAGCTGTCCATAGCCCCTTTAAGCAGCATAACACCCATACCCCACATTTCTCAGAACTTTGTATGTCATTTGGAAGTTACCTTTTGAAGGACAGCACTGTGTAGGACTCTCAGGGATGCTGAGACTTGTAGTTACTCTACACCTATAGAGAAGTTTCTTGCCTATAGATTTCCCCCCTGGGAGTTGTTCCTCCTGTCAGCAGCGGTTTCCAGTTTAAGATGACTTCTCTGCATGCAGGACGCTACGGAAAGTGACATTGTGCTCATAGACATCTTTCATTCGTTGGATCTTCTCTCTGGGAACACCATGACTATTTCTCCTACAATTACAGATATTAGCAGGACCATTTTTTTTTTAATATCAATAGATTTTTAGGATCATCTTAATGAAGCACATGAAACATTAGGACCATTCTAGAACAAATACTGTGGTGACAGCTCAACAATCTCCTACAACCATCAGACCTGTAGTGTGCTGGAAAAGGCACTGCATCATCTCATGTTGGGTAGGCTGTCATGCCCAAGCCTTGGGTTCCGAACACCTACATCTCTGATTTAGCCACTGGTTACTCAGACACTGTACAGAGCAATGATCCTGTTCAAAAGTGCAGTAATCTACAGCAGTACAAAATGAAGTCCTTTTACTGCAAACTGAATTATGATTGACATGCTTTATGGACTTTGCACTACCATACATTTACTGGCAACTTTGTTTCTTCTGGATTTCCCCTTTAAGAACCATGTAAGTGAGTAGAGGAGGCAAATCGTCCTCTGAGTTTGCTCATCGCTGTACAGTAGGCGAGACTAGTGCTTTGCAGACTGGATTCAGGTTACAGAATGTAAACACTTTATAAACACTTTATATGATCTCATAAAAAGGTTAGAAGGCAATAGAGCAATTCAGCTTACACTCCATTTGTTGTATATACAGAAGAAGATGTTTTACTACTGCAGGATGAGAACACATACAGTAACCAAATACAAATGACTGAGCTCCAGTCTTCAGCGCACATGTCAGAAGATTTCCTGATTGGTTGCTATGGGTCACTGCATTATTATTTTTTTCTTGTTTAGTGGAGCTATACGCAAAATGTGTATTTAAAGCTTGTTAACAATCATCCGGTGATGGAGATATAAAGTGCAACAGATGGGCAACAGTTCTTTACCTTTTTCATTCTCTGATCGGCCAAGGGGGAAATCATGATGCCTCTTCACCTCTGCCAATCAGAGAACACTTTGCATTCATTGAGTAAATGCAAAGTGTTTTGTAAATGGCGCCCATGTTGAGTGAGTAACCTCCTGTGTTCACTAAGGAGCAGGGCAGCTTCTCGGCACTGAAGCCAGTGACAATCACTGTAGTAGTGGTGCCTACTACAGCGATTTCCAGCTTCCTTGGGGGTCAATCAGGCATGCAACGTACTTAGAGGATAAGTTCACCTTTTGGACAAAAATAATAAATGCACATTTTTTGCAGGTAAAAAAATGTATTTATTATTTGTCCACAGGAGCCTGGAAAGCATTGCACCAGTGATCAGTAGATCGCTGATGTCATGCAGGTCTCCTGCAGACCTGTCAGAATATCTGTTTGCTGTACAGGATGTGCGAGCCGCAGATATACTGACAGGAAGCTTCAATGAACTACCAGGGAGCTCCACAGCACTGTGGAAGTTCATTGAAACCTACAAGCCCACAGCTGCTAAGGCTGCCAGGACTTGCAGTTCATTCATTCACAGAAGTCTGTGAATTAATAATGTGGCTGTGCAGGGGGAGACGCGCTCTTTTCAAATTTGACAGAAAGTAAGGGGAGACTTCTCCCCTTACTATCTGTCAGAGGGAGGGGGGCAGCGGCTGTGGGTGGAACATGTAACATGTTCCAAAGGTGAACCTATCCTTTAAATTGGTCCAAACTGGACCAATGTAACTGAAAAAAATGTCCATACCTGGCATTCAGCTTTCAAACAAAGTGCACTTATACTTTTTGATTCCCTTCCCTAACCCAGGCCACCCTTCTCCTCTCCAGAAGAATACTTATCGTGAAGCAAAGGGTGCAGCCTCCACCATTTTATATCCAGCGTTGCAAGTCTTTGGTGTCCTGGTTGGGCCTGTGCATGACAGCTCATAGATTTCTATGGGGCTGTACCTCAAGCATCTCTGACAGCAGATAAAGATAAGTATTCACTTGGGGAGAGGAGTGGGTTGGATTAGGTCAGGGAAGGGAAGCTGAAAGGATAGCTGTATTCATCCTTTGTAGTCAACGTGTTATAGAATAAAGAATTGAGATTAATAATGTACCTTGTTAACTCCTTGACATTGAACTTCCAGTGTGTGTCAGGCTCCAGAAATATGACCTGATATGCATTCTCAAGTGCCTGAAGACAAGTGAGGACATGAAAAATATTAGCCTTTAAATGCAATTTCAATTTTTTTTTAGTTTGCAATAGAGTCAGGGAAGTTCACCAGAATTGCATTACTTTCTGTGCCCCGATTACTTCCAGCTCCAGTGAGAGTGGATATAAGACCACACAGATAACAAAAGGAGCACTTTATTTTAGTAAATTATAGTTAGAGTTTCTGGCCGGGTGTTTTTTTAACTGTTAAGGAATTTTTTTTTGTCCTAAGAGCAGTGGCTGCCAAGGGCAATAAGGGTGATGAGATCTCTCCAGGAGCTCTAACCCTTCCATATTTTTTAAGATCACATTTTTCTATCTCTGTATTTACTGAAGAGATGTTCCTTTTAATTAATTCTTGGAAATTTGCCTTTCACTGGGATCAGAAATGAGGAGAAAACTTTCTAATGGGAGCACTGCAGTAAAAAACTCACAGACATTTAAACCTTCCCCACATTAACCAAAACATAGCTATAGTTCCTCTTGAAGTGCTGCAAACACAGCCCAATGATATATCTACATTGCAGGCATGCATTCTGCTGGCTGAATCACAACAAGGCCTTCACAATGACTATGAAGTGATGACCTGCACTTCCGATAATTTGTCAGGAAGTGGTTTGACAGCCATATATTTCTTGTGCCCATGAATACATGGGCAGCACACTGGCTAAGTAGCACCTAGGGTCATTACATGTTCTCCCTGTGCCTGTGTGGATTTCCTCCGGGTACTCCGGTTTCCTTGCATACTTCAAAGACATGCTGGTAGGTTAATTGGTCCCGGTCTAAATTGACCCTAGTATGTGTATGTATGAATGTGAGTTAAGGACTCACATTAGATTGTACGCTCCTTGAGTGTTAAGGACTGATGTGAATGTACAATATATGTATGTAAAACTCTTAGATTGTAAGCTCCAAGGATCAGGCCCTTCTTTCCTATCTTGTATTGAACTGTATTGTTGCTGTATCGTCTCCCATTATATTGTAAAGCGCTGAGCAAACTTTTGGCACTACATAAATCTTGTATTATAATAATAATAAAGCGCTACATAAATTGATGGTGCTATACAGGTACCTGTAATAAATACCATCAGTCCATTATCTAGCAAACTCCACTAAACAACAAAAAAAACCCCTAACTATATCTTGTTCACCTCTGAATTTAGTAGCTCATTATTAATAATCTATTTTCATGGGTAAACAGCTACTCAGAAAATGTGTCTACTGAGCTTTATGATCTTCCCATTTACTACATATAGATAAGCAACTACACAACTGCAGCAAAAATGAGATGTCAAATTATAACTGCTCCATGAACCACTAAGCCAGGAAAGCCTAACTGTACTTACCATAACCGCATACGGCTTCATGTGCCAGGCCAGAATGTTCGTATTATCGATGATAATTGGTGTCCTTCCCTTGGTCATTGCCTTGCGTGCTGTGGAAAGAAAAGCTTCTGGTAGTTCCCACTTACAGCAACATAAATATCAGCTATAAAAAGTCATTAACAAAGCAAAAATAATTAATATTGTTTCGCACACATACACAACTACCTACTGTCCCAATGACACGATATCAACTTTTGAATTCAAGTTGTAAAAACTGGTCTGATGTTAGTTTTCATTCTTTTGCCCTCTTCTAGAGAAGAAAACCCACCGAATTCTAGTTGCAATGGGCCGTGTGTTCAGTAATAAATGAGTCCCTGTGTACAAGTATACAAGTATTCTGCTTGAAAGGGTTACTGTCAATAAACAGTTCCTCTTCCTGTGACTTCCTTTTTTTCATGACATCACAGGTTTTATCTGCACTGCCACTACTTTTTCTGAGTTAGTGACAAAGCATTGAAGTCAAAAAGTCAACAAAATAGATCAGAAACTAGTATTTTCATAAAAAGGTTTTCAATGGCAGTTTTACTCCTAAAAAGAGGACGGTACTATTCCTGTTGCCAGTACTTTCTAAGTCATTAAAGTGAACTCGTCACTACAGGGACTAGGGAATAGTGCGCAATGCCTTAGCCTTCCAAAAGGCAATGCTGGTATCAGCCTATCAGACCTGGCCCAGTATTACAGGGCACTGCACCACACATAGGTCATGGACCGGTGTGGCCACTCATCCAATGCCCCTATATCCCTGTAACGTCTTCCAAGGTTACCCTCATGCCACTCCAGATCTTTATTTTCCTCCCTGACAATAGGAGCTATGCTTTGATTTATCACCAAAACTTTTCCCCTGCCAACAATCTCCCCTCACCCATCACCTAATACCCCAGTCCTGGGAGACCTGTATTTCCCTCCTAATACAGAAAATAATCAAAAGTCTTCTGTATGTTAACAGATTTTACCTCCTACACTTTCACTTTTTAACCCCAACTGGCTGGTTACCTATACAGATAAACAAAAAATGACTTCCCCAGCATTGGATGTCATCTGAGACACTTTCTGAGAGCTATCCCCTGTAACAACCAGTTTAACAAACCTACCTTCCAACTTAGGGATCTATAAGAGACATCCTGTAAGGACGTTATTCCACTGCACAGCTTGGTGTCATCTGCAAAGACTGAAATGGGATTATTAATCCCAGACCCTAAATTGTTTATAAATATATTAAAAAGTAAGGGTCCCAACACTGAACCTTGGGGTACACCACTGACAACCCTAGACCATTCAGAGTATGAATCATTTACCACTACTCTCTGAATACGATCTCTTTTAGCCAGTTTTCTATCCATTTACATACAGATTTTTCCAAGCCTGTAGACTTTACCTTACACATTAGCCGTGTGTGGGGAACTGTGTCAAACACTTTTGCAAAACCCAAGTATACCACGTCCACCGCCACCCCTCTGTCCAAGGTTTTGCTCACCTCCTCATAAAAAGAAATCAGATTTGTTTGAAAACTTCTGTCTGTCATGAATCCATGCTGTCTGTTGCTTAAAATATTTTTTTTCCCAGCAGCAAGAACTCATCTATGTGGACTTTTATTAAACTCTCCAGTATCTTCCCAACTATAGAAGTTAAATTAACAGGTCTATAATTACTTGGTAAAGATTTTGACCCCTTTTAAAATATTGGCACCACATTGGCCTTCCGCCTATCCAGTGGCACTATGGCAGTCATTAACCAGTTGCCACCCGGCCTATAGCCAGATGGCGACTGCACGAACAGCTCGTCCCTCCGGGTGGACGCCATATGGCGTCCTTCCAGGCATGCGCATTGAGCCTGCCCGCAGGGCCGCGCAGCCTGTCACCGGCCGTGTACCTCGGACACAGCCGATGACAGATCTGTGTACGGCCCCGTTGCCAGTACCATGTGACCTGCTGTGACCAATCACAGCAGGTCACATGACAGTTGTATACAATGGATGGCTTCCTTTCATGCCATCCATTGTATACAAGTGTGTCTAGCTGTGAATGATCACAGCGATCACATGCACAAGCTGGGCCAATCACAGCCCAGCTGAGCCAAATCACAGCTAAGCACAAAAAAAAAAACCCTGAATGAATTAATTTCATTCAGGTAAATGCTTGCTTATAGCAAAGTAATTCTTTGCTATAAGCAAACTGTGTAAAAAAAAAAAATACTGATCACTTCCCCAAAGTAGTACAATGTTCCTATGGTAACATTATACTACTTTGGTCATAGTGAAATATGAAAAAAATGTAATAAAAATTAAAAAATAATACAAAAATAAAAAAAAAATAATATTTTTTTTTTTTTGTTGTACTGTCACCAGTCAGTATCCTTGATCGCCGCCATGCCAGTTATATGATGACGCTGTACTGCACTGGTGACAGTATGTAAAAAAAAAATTGTGAAAATCATTTTTTTAATTTCTTCATTTCTGAAAAATTATGACAAAAAAATTACAACTTCAAAAAACTCGCCATGCCTCTTATGAAATACATCGGACTGTCTACTTTGCAAAAAGTGGTCATTTGGGGGATATCTGTACTGTTCTGACAATCTTGGACCTCAAGAAATTAGATTGGCTGTCAGTACTTCAAGATTGATCAATATTCAGATCTATTCCATAGCTTGTGAACTCTATAACTTTCCTACAGACTAAATAATACATCCTAATTTGGGTTATTTTCACCAAAGACATGTAGCAGAATACATCTTGGCCTAAATTTATGAAGAACAATTATTTATTTGAAAACTTTTATAACAGAAACAAAGAAAAATGTGGGGTTTTTTTTTTCAAAATTTTTGGTCTTTTTTTGTTAATTTAGCAAAAAATAAAAACCCCAGCGGTGATTAAATACCACCAAAAGAAAGCTGTGTGAAGTGTGTATAGTTGTGTGAAGAAAATGATAAAATTTTAGTTTGGGTACAATGTTGTATGACCGCACAATTGTCATTCAAAGTGTGAGAGCGCTGAAACCTGAAAATTGGCCTGGGCAGGAAGGGGGTAAAACTGCCCAGTATGGAAGCGGTTAATATAAAAAAAAAATTAGAAACACTGACTTTGAAATGACAGAGGTCAATTCTTTAAGGACCCGTGGGTGTATGCCATTCGGTTCAGGTGCTTTATTCACCTTTATTCTGTCTAAATATTTCTGGATCATATCAATTGTGATTCCATGTGGATCATCTGGAGCTGTGTCAATACCATGCCCATTATGGACAAGAGCTCCCCCATGCTACTTTGTATACACAGAGCTGAAGAAGGTATTTAATAAATTTGCCTTCTTTGTCCCCAGTCACCCATCCTAGATTCTTTTGTAAAGGGCCTACATGCTCGGACCGGACCTTTTTACTATTAATATATTTGAAGAATTTTGGGGGGTTTATCCTGCTATCCTTTGCAATCTGTCCTTCGTTTTCAATTTTTGTGGCCTTTATTTCCTTTTTGCATCATGATGACAAAGATGTCAGCGCTGGCAACAGAGTTCCCAAGGGTAGCCCCACTATTGTGTTCTGGGAGGTAGGCACCCCTACATATTACTAAACAGAAGAACTCCAGTCAGAAAGTTCATTGTATTAATTTACCTTTCTTGAAACCCCTCCTGTACTGTACAGCAGCAGACACTGACTGATGAATGTAGTCTGACCGCCTGCAGACAAATCAGTAGCTCACCTCTCCTCTGATTCCACCTGTGTGCATCTTGTAGTAGATCAGGGTTGTATATGTAGGTTCCGTCTTCCAGTAGGAAATAGTCGTCTGTACTAAGCACAACAGCACTGGGAAAATCTCTCTTCAGCTTCCTAAACGAATTAAGACAACTTATTGTTTGTCATTGTACTGGTGCAGAAACCATTTTTAACACGTGACAATGAAATACACTATATTGCCAAAAGTGTTGGGACGCCTGCCTTTACACGCACATTAACTTTAATGGCATCCCAGTCTTAGTCCATAGGGCTCAATATTGAGTTGGCCCACCCTTTGCAGCTACAACAGCTTCAACTCTTCTGGGAAGGCTGTCCACACGGTTTAGGAGTGTGTCTATGGGAATGTTTGACCATTCTTCCAGAAGTGCATTTGTGAGGTCAGGCACTGATGTCGGGGGAGGAGGCCTGGCTTACAGTCTCTGCTCTAATAAATCCCAAAGGTGTTCTATTAGTTTGAGGTCAGGTGCAGGCCAGTCAAGTTCCTCCACCCCAAACTCGCTCATCCATATCTTTATGGACCTTGCTTTGTGCACTCGTTCACAGTCATGTTGGAACAGGAAGGGGCCATCCCCAAATTGTTCCCACAAAGTTGGGAGCATGAAATTGTCCAAAATGTCTTGGTATGCTGATGCCTCAAGAGTTCCCTTCACTGGAACTAAAGGGCCAAGCCCAGCTTCTGAAAAACAACCCCACACCATAATCCCCCCTCCACCAATCTTTACACATGGCACAATGCAGTCAGGCAAGTACCATTCTCCTGGCAATCGCCAAACCCAGACATGTCCATCGGATTTCCAGACAGAGAAGCATTATTAGTCACTCCAGAAAACATGTCTTTATTGCTCTAGAGTCCAGTGGCGGCGTGCTTTACACCACTGCATCTGACGCTTTGCATTGCACTTGGTGACGTAAGGCTTGGATGCAGCTGCTCGGCAATGAAACTCCATTCCATGAAGCTCTCTCTGTTGTGCTACTCTTAAGGCCACACGAAGTTTGGAAGTCTTTAGCAACTGACTCTGCAGACAGTTGGCGACTTTTGCAAACTGTGTGCTTCAGCATGCGCTGACCCCACTCTGTCATTTTACGTGGCCTACCACTTCGTGGCTGACTTGCTGTTGTTCCCAGTTGCTTCCACTTTGTTATAATACCACTAACAGTTGACAGTGGAATATTTAGTAGCAAGGAAATTTCATGGATGGACTTATTGCACAGGTGGCAACCTATCACGATACCACGCTTGACTTCACTGATCTCCTGAGAGCGATCCATTCTTTCACAAATGTTTGTAGAAGCAGTCTGCATGCCTAGGTGCTTGATTTTATACACCTGTGGCCATGGAGGTGATTGGAACACCTGAATCCAATGATTTGGAAAAAAAAAAAAAAAACCTCTAGCAATACACACCAAACTGAGCATGTGCAGAGTGACTCCACATGTCTCCTCAGGAGTTGAAGGGGACACTGGAACAAGGGGAGGATCAGGGAAGTTGGGATCAAATGGCCTTTTTACACAATGCAGTGGTGTCCCAATACTTTTGGCAAAATAGTGTATATCAGTTTAATAGTCTATTGACTTCCACCATGCTTCACAAAGAATACAAATAACAGAATAACAGGAAGAACGTGGTGCTACTGCCAATAAAGCAGCACTTCCTCAAAATGCTAAACAATTAAATGTTTCTTTTTTCTAAACACCACACTCCTGTTTTAAAGTTTTATATAAGCTTTACCTTTGTGAATGTATTTTCAAAAGTGTACACAGCTTTCATGAAAAGAGACCTAGTGATCCTGTATAACAGTCCTTGTTCAAGCAGTTCATGTTATGGGGTGACAGCTCCCATTTGGGCTCCTGTATTGTCAACCTGTTACATGAACCTCTGCTGGAGACTACACACAGCTGTGCCAGATTAATTGCACAAGCAAGATTCATTGTTGTCACTATCAGGAAGCCGGTCCAGAGCAATGATGAGCAGATGTTGCTGGAGTGAGCGCATGTGGACAGGAAGTGACTAAAAAAGGCTGCAAAAGATCAGCAGCACTGAGATACGAAAAGGATAAAAATGTTTTTTTATGAAAAAAAAAACTTGGCAAATGTTTAGGAAACATGGTGCTTTTTTGTCATCTAACTAAGGGTCAGATCTGCTTTAACCCTTTTGCTGCCAGGCCCTACACTCCACTTTTAAACTTAGGTGGCCAGGCCGTTTTTGCAATTTTTCCATTGTTTTTTATTTTTCCCTTACAGCTTTCAGAGTTTGTAAAAGACCCCCCAAACCATACATTTTCTGAAAGCACATGACCTATAGAATTAAAAAAAACAATGATCTACTGATCTTTTTAGGCCCCGCAATAGTTGCGCAAATGTTCATCAAATCGCTATTTTCACAAAAAATATACTAAAATCATTAATAGTGCACACAAACACAAATTTTAAATTCCTGCTAAATTGCTACTAAGGCCTCGTTCATGTGGGGGCGTACTAAAGTTTATGCCCATGAAGGGCCGTTTTTACCCGCATGGGGATGCCCAGGTGTTCCATGCATCCCCATGCAGGTAGTCCCAATAATGTCAAAAGGAATGCAACGGCTGCATGTTTGACATCTGTGTGGGTCTGGGTGCATGACCCAGAACGCAGACATTGGGAGCTCAGGGACATGCACCCGGACCTACATGGATGTCAAATTGGGAGCAACGGCTGTGTTTGTGCAGTTGCTACATCCCAAATTACATCAATGGGACTACCTGCACAGGGATGGATGCACGGAACACTTGTGCATCCATGTGCAGGTCAACACAGCCTTGCAGGGACATATGCTGTGTGAATAAGGTCTTACTATTAGGAGTGCACCAGTGCCGAGTATTTTCACTTGTACTCTTGAAACTGTTACTTTTTGGTGTGATTTGCATCCATACAAAATGACTGGGCACAAATCGCACTGCAAAGAATGGCATGCGATTTGAACGGGAATGCTGTGCGAAGAACTCAGGCTGAAATCACTATGACAAGCCTGGGTTCACACAGGGGCTGTGGGGAAACCCCATGTGATTTGGACAGGAATCGCACCGCATTCCTGTTCAAATTGCATGCCACTCTTTGAGGTGCGATTTGCACCCATTCGTTTTGTATGGACCAAATCGCACCGCAAAGTATCAGTACTCGTACTCACAGATTTTTTAAAAAGGGGTATCGGTGCATTCCTACTTACTATGGGGTTTTTTTTACATTTATATTTTTTTTTTTTTTTAAATATTTTTTAATTGTTTTTTTTTTGGGGAATTGGGGGGGACATTTTTTTGGGTGAGGGGGGTCTCTTTTTGGAGACAGAGAAAGGGACTGCAGTCCCTTGCTCTGCAGCCTAAGCTGCACATTACATGAATGAATAAGGAGTCCGTATAGTCTCCTTTTCATTCATAAACTGACACATGTAACACAAGCAGTTCACTATCCTGTTATCAATGCATACAAGAGCGATCAGAAAGAAGTGATTGCTGACGGTATCCATTGAAGGAAAGGGAGGAGGGCTGGTATACGCATGTTTACCAAGCTTCCCCCCCCTTTTCCATCCTGACAGCTTCATAGTTTAACTTCTATCAGACAGGGACAGCCACACACTGAGCAAAATTCAGCCTCTCCCTGATAAACCAGATGAATTGCAATCAGTGCATGGCTGGCTTAAAGTGGTTCCAAATCTCAGACCTGAAATATGAACAAAGCATATCCCTCTATAGTGTGTACTTGTTTCAATACAATACTAATTGTCATGTCTGTCTGCTGTTTTGTTCCTCTTCTATCAGCATGAATCATTTCTGACAGGTTTTCCTGACACCAAAAAAAAATTGTGATGAGAGAGACCTCCAGCACATAGCCTATGATTGACAGCTTCAGCTCTGTTTCTGTGAGCTGTGTGAAGGGGGATGTGTGTCTACCCTCAGCGCTCAGAGCTCTTTTCAATGAGCTCTGCAGTGTGTAATTTCAGCTCCCCACTCTGATTTCTGAAAGCTCAGGCAAGCTGTATAAATTCTGAAATTTGAATGCCTGTAGTGAAGAATGCTTCAGATAAACAGGTACACCTTATGTTGAAGGATGTGCTTCATTTGTGTATCACCTGAGGCCAGTCACTTCATTGGGTACAGGGTTAACAACTACTTTAAAGTTTTCTAAAGGCTGAGGGGTTTTTTTTTTAGCTTAATACATTTTATGCATTAAAGTAAAAAAAAACATTCCACTATCTGTGTGTCCCCCTGAACACTGACACCACTCGCGATAAAGTGCTGTCCCTGCTGGCAGCCCTGCTGTGCTCTCTCCCTGCATTCATGGGCTTGGCTGAGAGCAGTGGAAGCCATTGACTCCTGCTGCTGTCAGGGAGCGAGGCCCAGTTGTGCTGTGTGTGGCTATAGACACACATAGTCCAGCTTGGGATTGAGCCTGCACATCTGTCCCCATAGCAAACTTCTTGCTATGAAAGCACTCGGAGAAGAGGAGGAGCCCAGACCGCCAGCGGGGGACCCCAAAAGAGGTGGTTCAGGACTGCTCTGTGCAATATAACTGCACAGAGCAGGTAAGTGTACCATGTTTATTATTTTAATTAAAAACAGAAAAAAAAAATAACTTTACAAATCACTTTAAGAGCTCGTTCACACCACATCAGGTAAGCTGTGTAGATGTGCTCAGCAGAATGGCACATAGAAAACAATTGTTTCCACTGTGCCTAGCTGAAACCACAATGCTGCACTAAGGTGTGTGGTGCATAACGCAGACATGGGGCAACCACTTAAGGCCTATCCTATAGCAGTTTACTGCTGCAGGACGGGCCTCCTGTGCAAAATCACATGTGTGTATGTATGTATGTACACACACACATATATACACACACGTGATCTAGCACTCCCACCATAGGGGGCACGCACGCCGCCAGCGGATCTCTTCTGCAGTGAACACTCACAGCAGTAGCCGATCTGCAAGTGCCGGTGAACAGATGTCCGCCGGCACATGCCGATCCTTGGGCAGGACACAGAACAGAGCTCTGCCTATGTAAACAAGGAAGAGCTCTGTTCTGACAGGTGGAGGAGTGAAGGATCGTCTGTCCCTGCAAAGTTGGGAACACAATCCTTCACTTCCCCTAATAAAAGCACCAACCAGTGTACACAAATCACATAGCTAGGCACACAGTTAACCCTTTGATCACCCCAGATGTTTAACCCCTTCCCAGCCAGTGTCAGTACAGTGTCAATGTATTTTTTTAGCACTGATCACTGTATTGGTGTCATTGGTTCCCACAAAGTGTCAGTTAGTGTACAAATGTCCTCCCCAATATCACCGTCCCGCTATAAGTCACTGATTGCCACCATAACTAGTATAAAATAAAATGAATTAACAAATCCCAGCATATGTCCCATAGTTTGCAGATGCTACAACATTTGCACAAACTAATCAATATACACTTATTGGAATATTTTAACCAATAATATGTAGCAGAATACATTTTGGCCTAAATTTATGAAGAAATTTGATTTTTTTTTCTTTACATTTTACTGGATATGTTGTATAGCAGAAAATATTTTTTTTTTGTCCGTCTTTTTTTGTTTATAAACACAAAAAGTAAAAAAGGCAGAGGTGATCAAATATCACCAAAATAAAGCTCTATTTGTGTGAAAAAAAGGACATACATTTCAGTGTTGCATGACTGCGCAATTGTCAAAGTAACGCAGTTAGCAACAAAAGGCCTGGTCAGGAAGGGGGGGGGGGGGGTGAAAATCTTCTGGGGGGCAAGGGGTTAATTCAGTGTGGAATAAAGTGTCATTTTGTGAGCCTTATAATAAAGTTTAAAAAAGTAACCAGTCTGATGGGCGGACTGACAACTCATGGGGCCCCCGGGCACCATAGGGGATCATGGGGTCCCTGTGTCCTCGCCCACACTCAAACAAAGCCTATAAAAAGGTACCAGGGGCATTTCATGGGGCCCCCTACTGACCCCGGGGAGGGCCCGAGTGCTGGAATGGTCAGTCCGCCCCTGCAGTATGAGGCGTAGTAAGGCAGGGGCCCCTCACACCAGGCTGCGGGATAACAGGCGTACCCTGGAGGGGCGGGATACATTGTCACTACACATGGCACTGTTTACTTTGTTGTAACTTTATTAAAGGGGACACAGTGACACCCCATTCCACACACTGTGCAGACCATACACATCAGCAGGGTGTAGGGACACGGCGCTCCCAATACCTGGCCAGACTGCTCTTCCCGGAGCCCGGCAGCCCCCTCAGGAGGTAGATGTGCTTGCTGAACCTGGACCGTGGGGTCGCTGTGGAGCGGGGTGTCTGTCAGGTGGTCGCGGTCTACGGCGCTGCCGAGGCGGCCCGTCCAAGCTCAAGTTCCCGAAGGAGCTGATGAGCCTTTCAGCCATTCTGTCCCCCGCCCGCTTCCTCTATCACACTACAGGAGGGGGCGGGGAGACGGGGTGTGCTGGGGGCCGGAGAGGACCGGGGGGGGGGGGGGGGGGGTAGGGCTGGAGAGGACCGGGGAGTGTAGAGGAGAGGTCAGCGCTCATACCTGTGCTGCTGCACCTCCGGGGCGCCGAGACCCCCTATCTACCTCCATTGTTACCCTGACAACCAGACCCCTCCAACACAGCGCCGCCTGCTGGAAATGAACACCCCCGCATGTTAGGTCCCACTGAGTCAGGTGACTTTATCCCATGAGGGAGGGGGAAGGGTCCATGTTCCTCTGAATCCCCCAGAGCAGGGGCCCCTATGCAGAAATGTCAATTAATAGACATGGGCACTCCGGGGGTTTTCCTCTGCATTAGTTCATTGAACAATCTGTTCCGTTATGTTGAACACATTGGTTGTCGGCATTCATGTAGTATATGAGTTGTGCCGGGTGGATGTAAACCAATCCTGCGGCCCATTGCTATGTATTCTATACACACTGCTCCAACATAGTACAGGAACACTTTAATCGAGTATTGCATCATGTCATTAAACTCCTGGGCAGGGGCGGACTGACAACTCATGGGGCCCCCAGGCAATAGGGGATCATGGGGCCCCCGTGTCCTTGCCCAAACTCAAAAAAGCCTATGAAAAAGGTACCAGGGGCATCTCATGGGGCCCCCTACTGACCCCGGGCCCTCGGGCAGTGCCCGAGTTTCCAAATGGTCAGTCCACCCCTGCTCCTGGGATATTGATCTGGTCAGTTAAGTAGCAGAGGGGGATGGTAATCAGTTTCAGCTGCTCTGGTGGTAATCAAATTAACAACAGGTGCACTAGATGGGCAACAATGTGACGACCCCCAAAACAGGAATGGTTTTACTGGTGGAGGCCACTGATATTTTTTCCCTACCATCTTTTCTGTTTTTCACTAGTTTTGCATTTGGCTAGGGTCAGTGTCACTACTGGTAGCATGAGGTGATACCTGGATCCTACAGAGGTTGCACAGGAAGTCCAACTCCTCCAGGATGGCACATCAATACGTGCCATTGCCACAAGCCTTGCCGTGTCTCCCAGCACAGTCTCAAGAGCATGGAAGGAGATTCCAGGAGAAAGGCAGTTATTCTAGGAGAGCTGGACAGGGCATTAGAAGTTCCTTAACCCATCAGCAGGACTGGTATCTGCTCCTTTATGCAAGGAGGAACAGGATGAGCACTGCCAGGGCCCTACACAATGACCTCCAGCAGGCTACTGGTTTGAATGTTTCTGACAAATCAGAAACAGACTTCATGAGGGTAGCCTGAGGGCCCGACTTCCTCTAGTGGGCCCTGTGCTCACTGCCCGGCCCCATAGAGCTTGATTGGCATTTGCAATTGAACACCAGAATTGGCAGGTCCTCCACTGGCACCCTGTGCTTTTCACAGATGAGAGCAGGTTCACCTTGAGCACATGTGACAGACATGAAAGGGTCTGGAGAAGCCGTGGAGAATGTTATGTTGTCCTGTAACATCGTTCAGCAGCACCGTTTAGGTGGTGGGTCAGTGATGGTCTGGGGAGACATATCCATGGAGGGATGCACAGACCTCTACAGGATAGACAATGGCACCCTGACTGCCCTTAGGTATCGGGATGAAATCCTTGGACCCACTGTCAGATCCTACGCTGGTGCAGTGGGTCCTGGGTTCCCCCTGGTGCACAACAATGCCCAGCCTCATGTGGCGAGAGTATGCAAAAAGTTCTTGGAGGATGAAGGAATTGATACCATTGAATGACCCCCACACTCACCTGACCTAAATCCAATAGAACACCTCTGGGATATCATGTTTTGGTCCATCCAACAATGCCAGATTGCACCTCAGACTGTCCAGGAGCTCAGTGATGCCCTGGTCCAGATCTGGGAGGAAATCCCCCAGGACACCATCTGTCGTCTCCTTTGGAGCATGCCTCAACGTCAGACATACATACAACCACGTGGGGGCCATACAAACTCTTGAGTACCATTTTGAGTTGCTGCAATGAAATTTCAGCAAAATGGACTAGCCTGCTGCATCATTTTTTTTCACTTTGATTTTTGGGGTGTCTTTAAACAGTCCAATTCAAACGATGGGGCATCCTTACATTCCTATCACATTACCCAGTCCATATCAGTATAGATATACAGCATGAGATTTTTTTTTTTTCCCCTCTGATGTGTTTCAAAGTGTTCCTTTAATTTTTTTTTTTTTTTTTTGAGCAGTGTATTATCAAATCCGATTACAATATTTTCAGACACAAAGTCCAACCACAAAGAGAAATGGCATGAGCTGATTGGACAATATCAACTGGTGTCATGTGCATTTGAATTAACTAATGAAACAAAATTTGGATCCATTCATTATCCAAATTTGAATTATTGAACATACTCTAAAATTGAATGAATTTCCACATGGCCCCAAACTACATTTGTTAATTTTGTTTATTTCAGATTCAGGCCTCATGCACACTGGGAACTTGAACAGATTGTGGTTTTGGATGGCAGGTGTGTTTTTTTTTTTTTTTTTTTCCTACAGCCAGTAAACTCCCCAGCATGTTATGCTATGTGTTCATGCACCCACAGGCTTTTTTCAGCATTTTCAGGCTGGAAAACCCCCCAGAACTAATACGTTAGAGCATTTTACAGCTGAAAAACTTTAAAACACTGCAAACCGCAGCTATCCAGTTGTTTTCACTTAGAGATGTACTCACTTTTGCTGCCAGCGGTTTAGACATTAATGGCTGTGTGTTGGGTTATTTTGAGGGGACAGCAGATTTACACTGTTATACAAGCTGTACACTCACTATTTTACATTGTAGCAAAGTGTCATTTCTTCAGTGTTGTCACATGAAAAGATATAATAAAATATTAACAAAAATGTGAGGGCTGTACTCACTTCTGTGAGGTACTGTATGTCCATTCAGAGATTCGTCTACATTTGAATCTGGGAAAATGACATTTGAGTGCAAAAAATTTTAACACATCTCTAACCGTGTTTCCAACTGTCAGCATTTTTACTGGCGGTCATAAAAAACTCACTTTTCTCCTGCCAATAAATGCCAGTGACAGGAAAAAGTTGTCAGTTAAAAATATGGCTGTGACGCTGTGAATCAGGCACAGTTCTGGTCCAGAGCCACCCAAGACCATCCAAGTGCCTGCGACAGTGTGTTTGGGCAGGTTGGTGGCAGAGGAGGTATGTGTCATGTGATGTCATGGTGCAAGGAACCTGAGCGGAGCAGCTGGAGCTTCATGTGCAGGTCTGTGGGACAGGAGCAAGGCCAGCCAGGCCAGAAACTGTCAGTGCTGTTTGGACTGGAGTAGACTGAAGAGACCACCTAAGACTGTCACCGTGACTCAGTAGGGGAGTCAATTTCCTGTGTGTGTACTTGGCCATTCTAATGTCTTGGCTTCCCTAAGCTACTTACTATATTGAAATACGAAATTTTTTTTGGAATTTTCTTTGCCTTCCTATCTACCTTAACCTCTTCGAGCCAACCATACACAAATCGGCAGCCCTTTGGCTGCTGGGCTTTGACACCGAGCAGCCGCATATTTGTGTACCATTTGTAAACAAGCTTGTGCTGAGAGTGCGCGCCCTGCGCACTCCCAGCACGTGTCGGCGTCACATGGAGAGATCCTGATCTCTCCTTGCAATCAGGACCTTTCCGATCATGTGACTGTCATGACAGCCAATCATGGCGGTCACATGACCCTAAATCCCTTAAAAAAGCCATGAGGCACCAGTGTAAAGGGATAAAACCACACTGTATATTGTACTTGTTTTTAGCCTAAATACTGACATTTGCACTTAAAGCTGTAATTTTGGAAATGCCTGTAAAAGCTTGGCTGTGGCAGTAAATTTAGGTGTCATTTGCAATAAGCACTAAAAATAAAAAATGCCTAGACTGAACACAGTGTTATTTCGTGACACTTCAATAAAGTAAAATTAAAAGAGTAAAGAATGCCTTCCATTTTAACAACATAAAGCACCACCCCATCGCATTTCATGTGCTTTTTTTGCACGACAGCATAGGACAAGTCCATTCATTTGTCGAGCATAAGGTAGCCAATTCAAATACAAGATAAGCACCAGGACCTTTTCGAGCATTGAGCGTTACACTTTTTGTCATGCATTTGCTCACCGCATTTGGGTGCCATCCAGGACCAAAAATAGGCCCGGACATTGAAGACAGAGCCATTTTTTTTGCAGAATAATGTAAAGGACAACTGGGATATAAAGGGGGCTGCACTGTATTAATTACAATTCCCCTTTACATACAGCGCAGTCCCTCTTATGGCACAGTGCCCCCTATACATTCAAAGAGATAGCCCAATCCAGCAAAGAGACATCCCCATCCACAAAGAGACAGGATGTGTCTCTGCTGGATGGGGATGTCCCTGCTTGGACTGGGCTGTCTCTTTGCTGGACCCAATCAAGCAAAGAGACATCCTGTCCGGCAAAGACACATCCCATCCAGCAAAGAGACAGCTGAACCAGTAAAGAGACAAACCATACCAGGCCACATGCCCTCTTCCCCACCACCCTGGCTGGTGGTTGTGGGGGTCTGCAGGCAGGGGGCTTATCGGAATTTGGAAGCCCCCTTTAACAAGGGGGCCCCCAGATCCCGGCCCCTCCCCTACGTGATGGAGTATTCACTAAAAACAAAAGGTGTAGTGCGAAGAAAGACAGGACAAGGTCTTTGACAAGTCCTTTATTAAAAGAAGTAAAAGAATGTCCCCTGCAGTAGATCCAACGTCAAATCACGATGTCCACCATCACCACTGCCGGCCCAAAAAAAGAAAAAAAAAAGGCTCCGCTCCAGGCGATGGCTTCCAGCCTTCTGCCTGCTTTGGTGGTTTGACAGTTCTTAAAAATGTACTGGGCTGGACCACCAGGGGACATCATGCATATGACCCCACCCCATGTGATATCAATTATGTCAGAATAAGAAGTGAAAGAAA